TCTGAACAAATACTAACATTTAAAAATTTTATTTTTTCAAAAATTTGTCCGGTAAAGTATAATTTAAACCTCACTATTAGATAAATAAGGACCTTAACTATTAGAAAAAAATTAAATTTACTCATAATCTAATATTTTTTATTTTACATTGGCGGCGAAAGGACCTCCTTAACTAAAATTTATTTACATATCACATCATTTGTTTTGTTTATGAGTACAAAAAATATGCAAGTAAATTGAATTCTTATAGGTTATTCCTGCAAATTACTCTGAGCTGAAGATTTAAATATTTTTTAAATAAAAATGAAAGCTATGAAAAAAATGGATGGTAAGCTTAATATTTATATAAATAATGTATTGATGAAAAAGTAATTTTAATTTAAACTATTAATCTTTAATTTTATTTTATTCTAGGTCCGAGAAAAGATCGTAAACAATTATCGTGGGCTTATCGAAATAAAAAAAAACAAGGAAAAGTTGTTAAAAAAGAATCAAATAACAATGATAATGTTCAAGTACAGAATAAAAAAGCCCGGATAATTGTTAGAAATTTATCATTCAAGGTAGTAATTATTACCGTTTTAGGTTTATTATTAGAGTTATTTTTGTTAATTCAAACTAATTATTTCTTTTTATTCCTAATATCTGCAGGTTACAGAGGATGACATTAGAAAATTTTATTCGCCCTTTGGAGAAATTGAACAAATAGATTTATTAAGAAAACCTGACGGTAAACTTGTAGGGTGTGGTTTTATCCAATTTAAAAGGCTAGAAGATGCATCGAAAGCTATTTTTAAAACGAATAAAAAAGAATTCCTTGGTTTGTCATTTTTTTTCTTCTAGATCTAATACTTTAAAATCACTCAAGTATAGTATTCTTTATTATTTCATTCTTTAATTTTTAGGAAGACCAATAACCAGTACGTGGGCTATTGCAAAGTCTAAATTCGTTGAGAAACTTCAACAAAATGAAAAAGATCAAGAAACTCCCAGAACTACAGAAGAACCAAGTGCAGATAATGATGATTTCATTAAATTGGATGATTCTGATAAAAGTAAATCGAGTTTTAAAAAACCGATAAAAGTTAAAAAGAAATTAACGTCTGAAGAAAGAAAAGAATTAAAATTAAAACAAAGAAAAAAACGATCTAGAATCGTAGTGAGAAATTTATCATTTAAAGTAAGTTATTTTTCATTAAAGTAAAAGCCCCAATAGATGATCATATACTGGTACATGATCATCTATTGGGGCTTTTACCTTAATTATATTTAATATTAAATTCAAATTGTGAAAATAATTTATAATTTTTAGGCTGATGAAAATACCATTAAAGAGCATTTTCAACAATATGGTACCATTGAGGAAATCAACATGTTAAAAAAAGATGAGAAATTTACTGGTTGTGCTTTCATACAATTTGATCATGTTCAAAGTGCTAGAAAAGCTGTTTTTCACGCTAATATGAAACCCATTTGCGATAGGCCAGTTGTTGTAGATTTAGCTTTAGCTAAATCGAAATTTCAAAAAAAGTCTGAAATTAAAGAAGAACCTAAGGATATTAAAGAAGAAGTTGAAGAAATTGATGATAGTCAAGACGCTAAAGAAAGAGATAGCGTTTCTAACGAAAATATTTCAAGTGATGATGAGAATGACGATGAAGATGATGATGATGACGAAGAAACAGATGATGACGACGATTATGACGTAAAAAGTGAAGAAGATGAAGATCAGAATAAAAATAGTATAAAAAAAGAAGATGAAGAATCTGAAAAACCACGACCTCGTGTACTTTCTCATGATATTCCTGAGGGCAAAACCGTTTTCCTAAAGAACGTTCCGTTTTCCGTGAAAAATGATGAATTACGAAAGTGTATGGAACAGTTTGGTCCAGTCTATTATGCACTAGTTTGTATAGATTCTTTGACAGAACATTCTAAAGGCACGGCATTCGTCAAATTTGTCAATGCTGAAGATGCAGAAAAATGCTTATCAGCTGGCACAGAGTTACGTTTACACAATCAAGTACTTGATCCTCACCGAGCTTTAGATCGAAATGAGCTTGCCAACGGAAATTCATCGAAATCTCGAAAAATTAAAGATTCGAGAAATTTATATTTAGTAAAAGAAGGTGTTATTATGGCTGGTAGTCCAGCAGCACAGGGTGTTTCTGCAGCAGATATGAAAAAACGTTTAGAATTAGAGCAATGGAAATCTCAAATGCTTCGTAATTTAACTATGTTTGTATCAAGAGTAAGATTAATTGTGCACAACTTACCTCCAAATCTCGAAGATTCAACTCTCAAGACAATATTTCTAAAACATGCTGGACCTAAAGCATTTATAACTGAAGCGAGAATAATGCGTCATCTTAATAACAAAAACAGCGAAATGAATGGAACGTCAAAAGGATTTGCATTTGTAGCTTTTACAAAACATGAAGATGCTTTAAGAGCACTTCGGATGATTAATAATAATCCAAACATATTTTCTAAATCAAAGGTAATTATTTTATTCATTTACAAATTTTACAATTTTTTATTTTCATACCATTAAGTCTTTAAAAATTGCTTGCATATAAATTTTTATTTTATTTCAGAGACCTATTGTTGCTTTTTCAATTGAAAGTAAAGCAATTCTTAATGCAAAAGAACGTCGAATTAAAAGTAGCCGGGAAAAAAATCCTTTATGGAAAGACAACAAACGAGATTATTATGATAAATCTTCTGATCCTCCAGTTAAACGTTTAAAAAATAACAATGAGGAAAAGTTTGAGGATGAGGATGCACAGAAATTTTCGGGCATTAATAGTAAACCTGGAGCACCTTTAAAATTACGGGCTAAATTTAAATTGAAAGAACAAGCTCTTCGTCACCGCGAACAATTGAAGACGGAGAAGAAAAACGCAAAATCGAAACGACGAATTAAAGAAATCAAAACAAGTGAATCCTTATCTCGCAAAGAAATAAAGGTAAGAATTTTTTTTTTATTAAATATAAATAATACAAAGTATTAATTAATCAATATTTTTTTTAGCCTAAAGTAGGACAGAAGAAACCAACTATCGATGAAGCCAATTTAAGTAAACTTATCAATAATTATAAAGATAAATTGACATCGATACCACAAAATAAATCGAAGTGGTATGATTCGTAATGAAAAAAAAAATGTATATCTACACTTCAGTGTATGTATGTATATATATCTATCTATATATATATATATATTTAATTATCTAAATAAAATTGCTTAATTTTAAATAACTATCTAATTCAGAACAATTTCCTTAGCAATAATTCGTTTTATACCACACAATATTTTTCCTCTGATGGTTGACGTTTTTATTATTCTAAAAAAGTTAGTACTGTGTTTAAAGAATAAAATAATGAATTATAAAATAAAAAAATCAATTATTAAAATAAATAGTTCACATTTCATTTTTTAATGTATATTATTATGTCATTTCTATTTGGATATTTATATAAATTAATTACTTTTACCACAAACTCTATACATTATATATTACCGTCCAACTTTACCACTGTACTAGAATTGTTTACTATGCCACAGATTTGATCAACTTGTTGGTAATTAAATTTTATCAACTCATAATAAAATTATTTATATAAAATTTAATAGGGAAAGTTGGGTAAGACATTTGGAATCTGGTGAATAATTATATTTCTAGTACATTATTCGAGGTTGAATATATGATAAAAAAAAAACAATGAACTTTAAATTCACGATAATTTTTTCATTAAATTATATTCGTTACATAGTTTTTCATGAAAATTTATTATAAATTTTGTAATAGCAGTTCAATCTATTCGATTTAATGCTGTAAAAATTTATTTCAGTAAAAAATGTATACTATAACTTTTTTGAAGCCATGAAAAATTAAAAAAAAAAAAACTTATTACTTTTTAAAAATATTTATCGTAAACGATGAACCATACCAAAGAATTACATTAATTCCATAGAAATATAAAAATAATTTTTTAATTATTTTATATCATTTAATTCACATACCTATTCAATGCTGATTCAAAAAATTGAAATTGTCTAAAAAGTAATTTTTTTCTTAACCATAACTAGAATAATATTATAATAAAGGTTGATAAAAATATTGCCAGATACTTGTTTAAAGCTCTCAAATAAGAAATCAAAAGAAATTAAATTTATAAAATTTTCCAGTTTAACTTAGCTGCAAACTTAACTACATAATCTCTCTAACTTTCGTACAATAAGCTATAAATTGGTGTTTTTTTTCACTGTAATCAAGAGTTGAAAAAACATTATTGTCGTTGAAATAAATAGTGTGTTCACTTTTAATTGCTTTCAAAATATACGATAATTTTAAATGGTATTTCATAGCTAGATATGCTACCTAACTAGACTTACATTAATTTTCAGTTATTAGAAACATCATGTCAAAAATATCAATATTTTTACTTCTATCATTACTAATTGAAAAAAATAAAGTTTTTATAAAAAGTTTATCGGTAAACAGTAATTGTGACATAATCAGTTTTACACGTAATCTTACAAAGATATCCAATGAATTATTATCATCCGATGCGTTTCTTAATAGTGATTTTGAAACCAGAATAAGAATTATTTCTGAAAAAATGAGATATTCCTATCAAGAACTATCAGAAATATCTTCGAGTAGTTTAGCCGAAATTGTGAATACATTTCAACGCAGCTTTCCTCAAAAAGGTCAACTTGAGGAAGCGTTGGGTCAATTTTATGAATATGTTGAACGAATCGATGCATTACACAAGCATTATAAACACTATAGAATATCGGATCAATTAACTGGTTTTAAAAGTCCTTATCACTCAAGTACACTAAATGATTTTTTTCAAGTTCTTGGTTCTCATGGAACCGGTGGAACTCAAGACATTCTTGACAAAATTTATCATATTATGGTACCTTCAGCATCTGATTCCATACGTTTAGGAATTTTTCAGCTCATATCTGAACAAAGACAAGTAAGTTTTTAAATATTTTGTTATCAAAAATGTATTGATGACATCTATTGTATCTATTTATTGTTTACTATGACATGATTCAAACCAAAGAAATATATATATATATATAATAATGGTTTTATTAACAATATTTTTTTTCGGCCACATTAATAATAATAAATTAATAATGTAACATTTTTTTAATCAATTAAAACTATTCGATGATACCTTTAAAAATGTTAAATTCAATTTTTAATTATTTGTACATTTACAGGCATCGCATCCTCGAAATTTATGTAACACGGAAAATTCATTTTTTCATCAGCTTAATGAATTATATGATATTCTTTTTCACATCGAAACTATGGCATATGTTACTATGGCTTATAGTTTTATGCTATTCGGTAAAAAAGATAAAAGTGAGTATTTAATTTTATAAATTTAAAAAGTTTTAAACTAATAGCCTTTTTTAACAAAAACCTCGAAACAGTTAGTTTGGTTCATTGTTGCTAATTCATTAAATATTGATGTTATTAATTTTTAGCATCATATAAAACAGAAATACAAAAAATTGCTCTGGCATTTGCTAAAAGAATAATAAAATATTTAAATGTAGTACAAAAAGAAATGAAAGTTGCATCAAGAGAGATGTATCGTTGTGATCCACCGCATCATATTCTAAGTACTAAATTAATATAAAAAAAAATGAATAATTTTTATTGAATATTAATTTATAACTATTTGATTCACAAGATGAAACATTCATCGAGTTTAGTCATCTTTTTCAAAACATTCTTATCAATGAAGTTCAAGTAACACCATTTAAAACATGTTCAACAAGTTGTGGTCAAATTAATGCTAATAAAATTAATCGATGTTATACCTGGGAATCTTCATCTAAATCAAACATTTATTGTCCGAAACGGTATTGTCGCGGAATTATGCGAAATTGTTCATGGGTTGGAACATCGACATTATGTGAGTTTGTAAGTGTTTTCTGTTATTTTTAAAATATTTTTGGTTAAATTTTCGTAAAAATTGGCCTATTGCAGAGGTACTCATGTTAAAATTTACATAAAATTTCATAAAAATCAAAATTTTGCGAGATTTTTCCAAATAACTTTAAAACGATAATTGATAAAATTGAATTCTCTCAATTATATCCGTAACGGCAACTTTTTAGAACATTCCCAAGCGGCACAAATTTTTTTTTGTTAATATTTTGTTAAAATTTAAGTTGACAATTATAAATTTCTGACTTCTTGTTAAATAAAATCTCCTAAAAAGTTAACATTTTTTTTTTTTGTGACGCTTGGGTTACGGCTGCCCAATTTCAAAACACAGTAACTAACATTTAAAATTTTTTTTCAATTTTTCTTATTAAAAAAAAAGTTTGCCCGCCAAATAGATGAAAAATTTGATTTATAAATAGAAAATACTTGAATATAAATATTTTTAGCAAAAAATACTTGAAATTAACGTCTTAAAATTGTAAAAAATGCAGCAATACTAGAAAAAATCAGGTATAAAAATTTTGCAGTTACTGTGTTTTAAAATTTTAAAATTGGGCAGCCGATTAACGTTCATGTAATTCCATTCAATTTAGTTGTATTGTTTTTTTCTCATACATTATTTCTATTTCTTTTCACTGCTTTTAAAATCAGTAGAAACATGAAAAGTAGTTACTTTTATGGCATTATCTTCAAATAACTTCTGCATAGCTCATTTTGTCGTGATCTTGTAAATTGCATAATTCATAAAATAAATTACAATTTTTTTACTATTCAATGTATCAATATATAATTTCTCTTTAATTTATAAATTTTAAGAGCGCTCTAAAATTAGCATATCAATATAACGTTAGAAAGTTGAGGAATTTACCTTTTCATATTGATGCGAGTATGGCCCAATGGTGCTTTTTAATGATTAAAATTTAGGTAATCAAAAAATTGAATTACTCTTTATAGCCTAGTGAATCTCCAAGGCGTTATCAATGGATTCATAGTGAAAACGGTCAATATGGACCAAGGGGTAGATGTCTAGGAACAGAGTTAAAGGTTGAGCAAACAATGAGTGGTCTCTATCGATGCGATAATTGTCTATGTCAATGTATAGAAGAACGAGCTGATGCAACTTCACTTCGTGCGATAAGTTTAAGACCTCAATTTTCCGATTATTTAAACAATATGTACTTTACATTAAAATCATTTATCTGAAAACCCTATTTTATTTTTATCATGAAACAATCTTGTTCTTTTTTTTTTTCAGGGTAGTTACAGGCGTCCGACTTGTTGAAAAAGACAAAATGATTCATATTCAAATACAACAAGGACAACTTATTAAAGACGGTCAAATAAATCGCTCAACTACTGAATGGGTTAAATTAGAAGATTTCGAATATGATGAATCGAAAAATGGATTTTATAAAGTAGGAGAAAAAGGTTCAACACCTTTAGAAGAAGGAATAGATTATGCATTTATTGGTTCGAAGCAAAACAAATTATTCATCGATGACGTAACAGGACCTTTGGAAACTCTAGTCACTGGAGTCAGATTTAATCATTCCTTTCCGCAATGGCCTGGGGAGCTTAATACGAGTCCGATCGAAATAGAAATTTATGTTTCACCCTTTATTTATGAAGGCGGTACACTTAACTTAGGCACATTTGAATCAATAAAGGTGACGTCAAAAAATATGCCTAATCCACCGGCTTCGTACAGCCGAGACAGGTAGTTTTATCATCAATATCTGGTACAAAATTCAATTCTTAAATACAGCTTATTTAATTAATTATAAATTCTTATAGAAAGGAAATAAAATTGAAGATGCCGGATAATCCGACAAAATCATATGAAAATTATCCAAATACTGACAGCAATTACTACATAGTATTTCGTCAAACAGACATCTGGAAAGATGCTGGTCAAACTACAATTCCCTTATTTGATCTTCAACCAGTTGTTTCACCAATCAGGCCTTTAGATGGTATTGGTATTATTCATCGAAATAACGATGGCAATGGAGGTTTCATTAGCTTAAAAATATTTACTGTAAACTGTACTCTACATCTTAGAGTTATAGACAGATCAGACACAATGTATCATAAATCTGCTTCAAACGATAAATTAATTGAAAAAACTTTAAAATTATACGAAAAAAAGTATTTGGATTGAAATATAGATGAAAAGCTAAACTAGTATATGAATAATTTAATTGTTCACTGGATCTAATCAAACTTGGGTGTAAAAATGAAAATTTCCCTTTATTTCCCCAATAATACATTTTAAAAAATTCTTTAAAGTTTAATATCTAAAAAAATTTTTTCTTTTAATTATATTCTCTTATAACTATTTATTCTTGAATACATTTCTATTAGACTGCTGTGCTTTTTCGAAATGACAAGTCAACATTTCTCCATACAACGGAAATCCAACCAGAGAGTTATAAAACTCCGAAACCAGAGAAGTAGTCTCTACAAACTCCGCTACCGCACTGGCCTTCTCATTCAACAAATCAAAATAACAAAAGCTACTCGTCTGATTGATTTTTTCTTTTTGCATTTTTTTAACTTCTTTTTTACATTTATTGAAAAATTCTTGTTTTGTCGGTCCGCGACTGATCCAGCCATTTAATTTTTCATTTACAAATAATTTGGCAGCTTTCAGTTTAAGAATATGTTATTCAATTAACTGCTTCAAATATTTATCACACTTTTTGTTTTCATAAATGCAACAAAGATTAACATCTGCACCTAAATTTAACACTGTAGTTAATAACATTCTCCTTCGATATTCATACTTAACTGCAATGTCAATAATAGACGCGCGTTTAGATTGCATTGTAGCAATATCGTCTATATTAGCGCCTTTTTTTATCAACACTAGAATTTAATTTTCGCGCGCAAGCGCGCGCCTCATATTTATTATCATGGTATATTTATGTGTCGTTTATGTATATTATATTCACTTTCAACCAATCAGAATGAGAATATTTATTTTCGACCAATCACATCACGAATAAATTGGTTTCACATACATTTCATCTCAATTTTATTATGGGAATCACATCACGAATAAATTGGTTTCACATACATTTCATCTCAATTTTATTATGGGACTAGAATTGAATTTTCGCGCGCAAGCGCGCGCGTCATATTTATTGTCATGATATATTTATGTGTCGTTTATGTATATTATATTCACTTTCAACCAATCAGAATGAGAATATTTATTTTCGACCAATCACATCACGAATAAATTGGTTTCACATACATTTCATCTCAATTTTATTATGGGACTAGAATTTAAATTTACGCGCGCAAGCGCGCGCCTTGACTATAGAGTTTGCATATATTTTCATGCTTATGATATATTCGACCAATCACGTTACGAATAGTTTGATGCCACATACATTTCATCTCAATTTTATATTAGGATAAGAATTTAATTTTCGCGCACAAGCGCGCGCCTCATATTTATTGTCATGATATATTTAAGTGTCGTTTATGTATATTATAATCACTTTCAACCAATCAGAATGAGAATAAATATTTTCAACCAATCGATAATATCAGCATGTCAGCGTATAACGGAAACTTAATCTTTAGTTGATCCAACTCTAACGCATTGTTAATGTGCATTGGTAAAACTTTTCTTCTTTCATTTTTTTAACTTCTTTTCTACATTTTTTGTAAAATCGGTTTTCTTCCATTGCTCGACTAATCCAAGCATCAAATTTATGATCAACAAATAATCTAGCGGCCTTTAATTTAAGTATATGCCGCTCAAGTATCTTCAACGTATTCTGAGGTAGTTTAGAATCATTAATAGTTGCATCATCAATATCCGCGCCTAAGTTTAATAACATTATCAAAAAATTATTACCACGCTTAAGAGCAATGTCAATGACAGATACACATTTACCTTTTATTGTGGCCTTATCAGTTATATTAGAACCGTTTTCAATTAACATCAAAACAATTTCCTTTGCAATCAGATGAATAGCCAGAAGTAGCGGTGACACATTATCATAAGGGTATATTTCTCTTTTACAATGTACATCGACACCAAGATCCAATACACGTTTTACTATCTCATTATTCTTTGAAGAAACTGCCAAATGTAATATCGTTGTTTTAGTGAATTTTTCTTCATTAATACGAGCACCTCTGCTTAAAAGTAAATCCACCATCATGATGCTTCCTCTTTGTACCGCACAATATAATGGAGGATCTTCCCGATTAAATCCTCTATCGACGTACTCAGAGTAATAATTAATATTTGCTCCGCTATTAAGCAAAAGCTCAGCCATACCCACTTGATTAGCGTAAATAGCTGTTCCTAATGCACTTTCACCATTCTCTGTTATCATATATTAACATCAATATTAACCGTATCCAAAAAATACTTGGTTATCTCAACAAAATTTTCTTTGATAGCTATGTGAAAAGTTTTTAGTACATGTTTAAACTTATCTGTACCATACCCATCATGCTGAAATATTTTATCAACTAGCTTCTGAACGATCTTTAAGTTGTTGCTCGCTGCAGCCACTTCAAGCGGCGTGAGAGAATAATCATTTTCTTTGAAATTGAAATCACAATCCTCTTTTTTTAACAAGAGCTCCACAATATCTTCATCATTAATATGAATAGCTTCATGCAATGCCGTCCAACCATGTTTATAACGATAGTAAATGCTATAGCATTAATATCGGAACCGTTTTCTAATAAAAATTCAATCATATCCAAATTTCTATTTTCAACAGCTAGAAGCAAAGGTGTTCCATGATTTTTTGAATTTACTACGATATATTTTTCAAATAATGAATCAATTACATTATCATTGTAGCCCATCATTCGTAATTTTTGCCTAGAGAATAGATTAAACGCTCTCCTTTTCAAATTATCGTTCTCATGAACAGAAAATCCAGCCAAACATTTAATAATTTTATAATTTCTACGTTTCAAAGCATGACTTAAAACTTTGTCATAATTTTTCATCAATTTATTTATGTCTACCTGGATTGTAAAAAGCATTTTAACAATGTCCAGGCGATCTTCTTTCACTGCAACGTGTAATGGAGTATCGCCATGATTATTAATATGATAAGCCTCACCCGTAGCTGATATACTAGCTCCATACTCTAATAAACACTTGATACCAGGTAAATATTTGTTATTAATAGCCAAATGAAGTGCTGTAAGATTCCTCTGACCAGGTGTATCAATATCAACTCCAGAATCTAATATTTCTTCAATTAAATTTATATCTGCAGCGCATCAACGGCTTTGTGAAGAGGTGTATCTTCAAGTACTTTTCTTGGTTGCGGTGATTCTGACCTCTCACTTCCAAGTTCAGAATCTCTAGTATAATCGGTCGAATTTTCTTGACTAGAAACGTTTGAAACATCGTCATCACTTAATGATAATACTGAATAACTGTCATCCTCAGGTAAGTCACCTGATTTTGAAGTTGAGGAATCTAAACGTATTCTTTTAACTGGACAACCATGTTCCGACATTTCAATTTTTTACTTGTTTTATTAATCTTCAAAATTTAATAATATTTCAATCAAAATTTATTATTTATTTAATACGTTATAATGTTTACACTTACCGGTGACTTTTTTGATCAATTGATGTTACTAACTTTAGCCCTGACTGATATCATTAACAACTATGAACATGAAAAATAGATAATTTTTTATCTTGAAATTTATTTATATACAGTCGAGTCTCGTTACGAGTCCTATAAGTGTCTCTCTCTCATATTAACGGGAGTCTGGTTAAAAAAAAAAAGAAAACAAATAGGACTCTTAATGAGTCCTATCGAATGTATCTATTTTGTCAATGAGTTCAATTCTTAGAACCTGTTACAATTGACTTCTGAAAATAACCGAAGTCACTCGATTATTGTGATCTGGTTATATCTTAAAATTTGGCTGATGATTTACATAAGTTGTAAAAACTGTCTAATATCATATAATTTAGAAATTTAAAAGACAAAAGTTATAAAAAAATTTTTTTAATGAATAAATAAAACTATTAACTCTTGTTAATATAAAAAAAAATAAAAAAAACTATAATTTATTGAAAATCAATATTTGTTGACAAGATAAAAATAAATTTCTTTATTTATTTGTCATAAGTATTGTTTAAGTTGAAAATTTTTTTATTTCTATAAATTCATTTTTATAGTTAAATAATTTTCTTTTATTAATTTCTTTATTCAGTTTATTCTATTAAATTTATTCTATCGCTTGGAGTAAAGAAAAATTATTCATAAATAATTTAATTGTACAGTTAAAATATATGAGAGCGGCAAGTATGAAAAAAAAAAAAAGTTCTTGTGCTTCCATTTATGAAAAACTATTTATTTGTACCTATTGCCAACTTTAAAAGTTTTCAGTAGATGGCGACACCGGAAACAAATTAACAAGTATATTTTTTTTTTTTTACGACTGCCCGAACTGACATCTTTATGAGCATTTTAAATACTTTTTAACGGTCGAGAGGTGCATTTGTACTGTCTTTGTTGATATTTACTGTTAATAAAATATCAGCGTGAAAATATTAAATTATTGCTTAAAATAATCAATTCGCATTAAAATATTATGATTGAAATTTCACTAAATGGCCGGTAACGCAAGTAAATCAACAGTAATATTTTTTTTAAATAACAGTGTCATTAATCACGTTGTTTTTAGTGATGGCGTAATAATAATAGATTGCTAATTTTTTGTTTAGGACAAAACAACTAATCCTAACTTAATTGCTAAAAACGGAGACTTTCAGAGACTTCAAGTTCTTCGACAAACGTACACCGAATTAGAGCGCCTATTTTTCTTATTGAAAATCTGGAAAAGTGATTTAGAAAAAATAGCTTACAATTTATCGCTTGTATAGTGTAAGTAATAATATTAATTATCATAATTAAAAAATGTCTTTTAATTTATTAACCTTGTTGTATTTCTTTTTCATAGGGTCGTTACATATTTTTCAAGATAAATAATTTTTAATCATGGACCGTAGAAAGAGCATTGGACTTGTGCTAGCTGAAAATGCAAGCTCAAGTCCTCTACGTCGACGTTCAGGTTTTGCTGTGCGAGTAAATACTGCAGAAATAGAGGTTAACGATGATGAGGCAGAACGACAAGTATTACGCACTGAAAATAATGGTCCAGTTGCTCCACGACCATCAACAAGTCGCCGTTCTGTTCATCTTGGTGCAGTTGTAAATATGTCGACTCCACAAATAGCTGAAGGAATGGCTCAGTGCATCAAACTGAGCACTCAAAATAAAATCAATATTAAAAATGCTTTCAGTTTGAATATGATTGATTTTATGACATACATGGTACGTAATAAAAGTGAAGGTATACCAAACCTTCATGTAGCTGGAACTACACTTGATGTTAGCGCCAAGATCTATGCACTGAGAGTAGATGCTTTGTATCAAGATACTTTGAAAATGAGTGGTAATTTGGATACGAATCATAAAAAACATAACGTCAATGAGGATTCGAATGATGACAATACTACTACGGAAAACGGCGAAGATGAACAAAATAATGCTAAAAAAAAGAAAAAAAAGAAGAGAGGAAGCCAGAAAATTCTTACAACGATCGAAGCTCTCCAAGGAAAAGTTGATACGGTTGATTACACTCCTGTAATGTTTGGAAATAGTGACTGTCAGACAACGAATATGCTGTATCAAGCTTCTTTACCGCAACACTGTGGTTTAGGTATCAGTTTAAATCCTTACAACGATGTAATTATTGATTCAGCCGATGAAAATACAGAAAATAACGATGAAACACGAATAGCTTGGCCACCAATAAGAGTAGATTTTGCTAATCAACAGATAAATAACCTTTTCTCAACATTCGAAATTCTCCATTGGTCTGTTGAGCAAGATGAAGGTGAACCATCAAATATGTCTTCTCAAGAATCTTTTTCTCAAGATGACGATAATCTGGCCTTTGATCTTAACGCTAGTGTACCACCCGAGGAAGATGAAAATAATGATGGGAACTTTTTTTATGCTGATGAAAATCACGAAGAAGAAGTTGAAATTGGTTGTAATGCCCAAAGTCGAGCACCCTGCGTGGTTGCTGATCTGAAAAATCTAATGGAGCGAATGCCTATGAATAAAAAACTCGAGTATTCAATCTTTAATGAAGGAGTGGATATTCGTTGGGTTGGACCTTCTCACTGGAAAATTAAAAAACTTACTAATAATAATACACAAAAGAGTAAACTTGAAGCTTGTCAACAAAATCCGAAAAGGAAAAAAAAAGATTTAAACATTCAAAGTAGTGATGAACAAATTGAAGCGGCTGAGGAAAAAAGCAAATCAAATAAAAAAAACGCAACAGTTTTAAAAAATACAACAATTAAAGGTTCTTGGTCTTCAAGAAAATTGGTAATATCGAAAGAAAATTATGAAGAAGATGATACAAAGGTATGTAAGTATTATGTACGATTAGATGAGCTATCTTTCAAAAATTATCTTGATAACAATAATTCAGTGGTTTCTGACGACAACAATCCATATGACTATGAAAATGGCAATGATACTTTGAATTATTGCTCAAATGTTCAAGCTGATGATCATCAACATGATGACATTGGTACGGCGGCTAACGATAGTGTTTATGATGATGGATCTCAACCAATTGCCTTCACGAACAATAATTTAATTGAGGCTCCAAAATTAACTCAAAAAATATACATTCCTTTCTCACAGAGAGCAAAAAAATTGGATGTTCGCCATTTAAAAAAATGTATTTGGGGAACGTTAACAGATAATCAAAGTGACAAAGAAAATGAAAGAAATGAAAGGCCACTTCCAATAATCAAAGAACAAAAAAAATTCAGTGACATTTATACCCAACTTCCAAAAATGCTTTCAAAAAATGATGCTGAAGACTTAAGTTTTCCAATCGCTTTTGTGTCATTACTTCATCTTGCCAATGAAAAATGTTTATCTATAACTTCGGGCGAAAATTATGCGGAAATTATTATTGGATCAACTACCCAATAGATAAAACATTTTTATATCGCCACCACGGAATAATTTTTCTCCTTTATGTTTTAATAAATTTTCGTATAACTACATGTATTATTAAATAAGAACTTTTTTTGTTTTTTTTTTTTTTCAATTAATAAAGTATAAATAATTTTTGTACTTCATTTTTTTTTAATAAATAATATTAAATAATAGTAGTAGAAAAATTAATTTGAAGAACATTAACATTACATTTTTTTTCTATCACTACTTAAATTTATGAACTTAGGAGCAAAAAAACATCTTACTTATTCTATTTACAGGGTCATTAAAATAGGATAATGAAACTATTAAATAAATACTCCAAGATTAATTTTTATTAATAATAATAATAATTATTATTATTATTATTATAATGATAATAATAATAAAACAGTGTACTGTGATAGCAAATTGATAATTCAGTACGTTGAATTTTTTTTTATTCATGTTTTTGTTTATAATTTATAATTTCTAATTTGTGTTTACCGATTAACTGATTTACTGGTTACCTGAAAGAAACACTGAGAGACTGTACTAATACCAATACTATTATTTATACTAACGCAAAATTCAATTGTTATTACGACTAATATTTTATAAACCTTAAATTTGTCACTTTTTGCATAAAATTATGTACATTATGTTGAATATATCATGTACTTTTGGCCGACAGAGAACTCAGTTCTACAGGGCCATTATTATTATTATTATTTTTATTTTTATTATTCTTAGTATAGAAAAAAATCTGGAAATTTATTATTTATATTGTTGCTATTAATAATAACAAAAGTTATTGTTGTAAAATATCGCACTTAAAAATTCTGGCGGTAAATTAAACCAATGAAAAAATAGAAATCACAGTCTTAACATCTCATTGGTTATTTCTGTTAAATCTTAAATATCGTAAGTCGATAAAATCTCATGTCATTACATTTAACTGCTCACAATGTACAACTAACGGAATTTGAGGGTAAGATTCTCGTTTGCACTTGGATTGGCGTCGGTGAAAAGTTGTATTGTGATAATGTATTAATTAAATATTTTTTAAATTGTTGGAGGCGTAAGCTCTCAATAAGTCGTGTGTTATTTACAAGTAGTTTTTTATTTTTAATTTTCGAACAAATAATTAGTTTGTTAAAACTTAATGTATTTGTACAGAAAAAAAAACTTTTGGTTATGTTTTATAAATATATGTGAGTAAAGAAATAATTATTAAAATGTATATGGCTAAATATATAATTAATAATAAACACTGTGAAATAACCATACTATAAACGTGGAAATTTCCAGTAACAATAATAATAAATCAAAATAAACAAGTGAAAAACAAATTTTTTTTGTGCTAAGTGTGTGGTGTGAGAATGTTACTATTATCTAAATTTTCATTAATATATCATAAATTAGTTGGTAGTAAATAATTGACGTTTTTAGCTAAATAAAAACAATGTCTGAATCTTCTAAAATGGGCCTATTTGGCTCCAAAGAGGAAAACAGTTGTTTAAACAGTGATCCAGCCAATAAAGATGAATCTCCAGAACGTTATGCACCATACAGTGTTGATAGTGATTCAGAAACTTATGATACAGAAGCACTAAGCATTATGGATATCAATGATATAATTGGAGTTCAATCAGAACCCGTTGATTCAACTTTAGAAAGTGAAATAGCAGCTTTGTCTAAGATCATCGATTCCAAAACTGATATTGTTGATAAAAATACTATAAATACAAATTTGAGTGTAAATACAGTTGAAGCTACTCCATCAATTAATTTATTGACTAATTCAGGAGATAAACAATCTGAAAGTTCTGTGAAAAATAATGATAGTAATGATTTTCAATTAGGTTCTAGTGATGTTGATACTGCATCAAATACATTAAGTATTAATAAAAATACAAATGAATTTATTCAACATCAAGATACATCAACGAATTTTGATATAAAAGGTAAACTTATAAATATTATTTTTGTATAAGTATATTAAAAATACAAATCTTGATATTAAAATAATTTGTTTTTTTCGTTTCAGAAACCGGAGAAAATTATAAAAGTTCAATTGTTACAGACGTATTAAGTATTAATAAAAGCCTTCAATTAATCGGAGATGCCTATACGTCAGAAGATTCCCAAGAAACAGAATTAGATGAAGTACGAGTTGATGAAGAACCAAAAGTTGTATTTTCTTGTAAACCGCTTGTGGATAAACAAAATAGTAAAACAGACCATGAAGGTAATCTTGAAGGTATTGAATCTATCGACATTCCTGTCGATGTTCCATCAATTGTAGATATAAATATTGAAAATAATGAAATTATAGAAAAATCATCATTAGAATCTATAGTCGTAGTATCTGATAATGATAATAAATTAATTGATCAAGCAAATAATGATACGAACTCGTGTAAGTTGATATTAGATCAAGCGAAACAAATTGTAAGTAAAGCAACTTGTCCAGAAGACGAATCACCAGTACAAGCACCAATAAATGTTTTTACTGAATCTACATCTTCAGTAAACGTTGCACAATCATATTCACAGGACAAGGAGTCACAGAGTTTAAAAAAAGATAGTGATCTTTTTGTTTCCAAACAAACAAAAATCAAGCCAGATAATGAAAGACAACTTTGTCAAGCTGATTTGAGTGTCAATAATGTTGAATTTTTTGGAATCGATTCAAATGTTAAAGAAAATTCTACTTTAGTCGACGATGAAATCGATGATAATAATCAAAATATTTTAACTCCTCATTTAGAAGAAACATCAAGCAACATTACACAAAATTTAGAATCTTTAATTACTCCATCTGTAACGGATGAGGATGTTGCAAAAAATGTAAGTACTGCTGACGAAATAACAAATGAAGCAAGTTCAACGACCAATGTCACGGAGATAATCGATCAGTCAACTCCTGTTATAATTTCAGATTATTCAAGTAGTGTTACTGAAAATTTAAATTTAAAAGATTTATGTGAAAATCTTTCGTCTGAAGATCAAACATCGGTCGCTAATAATATTCAAATGTCAATTGTTGAAAAAAGTGAAGAAAATCTTTTTAATAATGAAAATAAGTCCAAAGAAACAAATGAAGTAGCCGAAGAACCTGAAAATAAGAGTGAAACTATGGAAATTACGAATATTGAAGCATTCGATGTAAAAGATAAAATTATTGAGGAAAGTGAAACAATCAACGAATGTAACAAATCAATATTATTACCAAGCTGTTCATTTGAAAACGAAGAAGAAACAACAAAAGATGTAATTGAAGAAAATACTCTTGAATGTATTGATAATATTTTAAATGAAACGGAACAAAACAAAACTGATTTAAAAGATAATTACATCAAAGATTCTTCTGAGAATATTAAATCAGACGTGTCTTGTGAAGATGTAAAATCAATTGAAAATGATAAAAATACAAATATATATTTAGATCATGACAACCACCAACTATTGCTTGAAGAAAATGAAAAATCGGATATTAATAATGTACAAAAACCCAATTCTTTAATTACTAATACAGAAAAAGATATACCTTTATCAAAATCAAACGAAAATTCTGAAGATCTAGATGCCAATATATTAGAACCATCTGCTCAGAGTTTTACCGATGAAAATAATGAATTATCAACATTAGAAGTAACGTCCAAACCAACAGAAGAACCAAATGAAGTTAATTTGGCAGTAGTCGCAGCTGATAAAAGTGAGGTTTATCAAATTATACAAGATGATCCGGGAATACATTCAGAAAAAATAAAAGAACCAATTACTGATTTAAAATTAAATCTAGATACTCAAGAAGCTGACACTGAGACGCTTGTTGTTGAAAATGTAGAAAACCTTTCGGAAACAGAATCTGACGTAATTCATTTTAAAAGTATTACATCAAAATCTAAAGACTTAAACGAGAAAAATTGCTCGGATTCTTTAAAGTCTGAAAACTTAGATAATCCGTTAGTTGGAGTATTAGATATTGATCTTACAGCAAACTTGGAGGAATCAGTAAATAGTAATGAAGTTATTGTACATAGTGAAGTTATTGAAGAATCTACAGAAAAAATTTCATGTGAACTGGAACAAAACTCAATTGTTGATTTATTACTTGTCTCAAAACCAGAAACTGAACCCAGTAACCAAATAAACAATTTGCTTAGTGACATTATGGAAACTGAAACTGAATCTTCAGAGCTTGACTGTAATATAGAAAGTGAAAACGATAAACAAACTGAAGATTCCGACAATATAAAAATACCTGGAAATTCGGAGCATAAAATATACGAAGAAGAAACAAAATGTATTGAAGAAGAACAAATAATAAACATTAATAATACAACGTCAGAAATAAAAGAGAACCTCAATTTTAGTCAAAATGAAAAATTAGAAACAGATGAAGTAAAAGATCAATTGGAAGACGTAAATTCTATCACTGAAGTCTTACAAACTAATCCAGAAATATCTGAACTAGAATCTGCAGTGAAATTTCTTCGGGAATCTGAAGAACAAAATGAATTAGAAACCAGTTTACTGTCAAAACCTCTGGATGATACAGCAAATGAATTAACTCCCGAAGAAGAGTTTTCAACGACATACACACAAGATCAAAATATTAGTCAAGACTTACCAGAATCTGAATCAGAATTTGAAACCCTAACTAGTGAATCAATAGCAATATCTGAAGCTGAAATAATAACTGAAGCAGCTAAATTAGAGAGTGAACGAAAACAATTAAATGAAGAATCACTAGTAACAATTAATCAAGATAGTAATCTTCAAGTGAATGAAAAAAGTAATATTTTGATAACTCAAATCCAATCATTAAATGAAGAAATTAACGCATCAGCTGTTGACATAAATATTGAGGTAAACCCATCGCAATGTTTATTAACTAGAAAAACAGCAGTTATTCCAAAAACATCAATTTTAGAAGAACGGTTGAAAGAACCACCAAAAATAGAAATCCCAGTTGTGGATACTGCCACAGGATATGATGGTCCAATAAACCCAAGATCAAGTTTATTGATTCAAAAAGATGCAAAAATGCCAAATTACGAACAATTGCTAGAATCATCAAAAGTTGAGATGGATAAAATAAAAGACGATAATAAAATAATCGATAATGTGCGAAAAGATTCTGATAGACATGAAGTTGAAAATATTAGCTCACCGTCGAGGATTATTTTAAAAATAGCTAAATCAGCTATTGCTAGTTGTGGAGAACCCAAATCTCCAAAAAGCCCTAAAATACGTTCTACAACTGATTCTCCAAATCTTGAAGATAGTCCTGGACAGAAGCTAGAAAAAATAAAATTAAAGTTATCAAAAAGTGGACATCCATCGATAATTCCCAATGAACTTGCAAAGGAAACATCAATGCAGTGGCATACTGAAAGTTCTTCATCACTTTCCCCTCTTGGAATCAAAAGAAAATTTTCAAGTGTGCAATCAGAAACAAAAGAAACATCAAAACATAAAGTAGAATCAATTACAGATTCTCCAAAACGGACGGAGTCTCCAATTGCAATGAAAATAAAATTATCGAAAAGTGGAGACGCTTCAATAATTCAATCCGATACCCAAGACGATGAATTAAAGGAAATGAAAAATAAAGAAAAAATAGATTTTTCACATGAATCTAAAAGAACGGAATCTCCACTAGGAGTTAAAATAAAACGTCTGAAAACTAGTGATCCATCAATTTCACTGTGTGATTATGAAGAAGGAATCAACACAAAAGTAAAAGAAAAGAGAGACACTCAAGATAATCAAAAACGAACTGATTCGCCAATACCTGTGAAAATGAAATTATCAAAGGTAGGTGGCGCTTCTATCATAACAGTTGACTCGACAAGCGATTGTAAAGACAAATTAGAAATTCCAGAAGTTCCTCGACGGACGGAATCACCTTTAGGAACAAAAATAATAAAAATGTCAAAGACTGGAGATGCATCTATCATTTATTCAGAGGTATGTAATGATCAAAGTAATCAAGGATTTGAGTCAAGTCAAACATGTAATTTATTCGAACCATCAACCTCCAAAGACATTGATTCAACTAATATTTCAAAAAAATCTGAATCATCTCTAGCCGTAAAAATCAAAGTATCAAAAGATGGGGAAGCAAAAATAGTTCACTCTGAAAAACAAAATGAAAGTCAACAATTAGTGGAAATACATGATGAACATAATAAAATTCAAAAATCTGGTGATTCAACGAGAATTGAATCAATGAAAATAAAAGTACCAAAAAGTGGCCATCCAATGATTGTAACTAATGATACAGAATTGTTATACAACAAAGATTCTTCAGACGTTCAATGTACATTTATTCAGAAACGAGAACAACTTACCAATAGATCAGAGGTAACCATTGAACCTATAACTTATAATAGAAAACAAGAAGAATTATCAGAACATCCATTAAAACGTAAAGACGGCACTCCAAATTCCTATGAGTCGAAAAAAACTAAATTAGAAGCTAAATTGTCACAAATTCTTCCTGAAGTTACAATTCAGCCTATTGTGCCAAAAGATCAGCAACAACAAAGTCCGGCAGATTATAATGAGTCAAGTGCAAGCCTGATAAGTCGCGAGCAAATGAATGTTATTAATCAAGAAATCAGTATAACTCAAGTAAAATTGGCAAAACCTTCGTCAGATATTATTGGAGAAAAATTAAAAAGTATGTTAACTCAATCGTCTAATAATATGTCTGATGATTGTGAAATAATTGAACAAGATCCAGAATTAATAATTGTTAATGAAAATTCAAATTCAAGCCAAGATATTATGATAATTGACGAAGTAGCACCAATAAGAGTACCAGACGTTAAAATACCAAAAAAACGAGGGAGACCTAGACGAAATGCTTTACCATTTCAACGCCCAGAAACTGTTGAGATAAATCAAGATCCTCTTGCAATAGATGAAACTTCTTATATTGTTGGTACTGCAGAACCTAAAGAAAATGAAAGACCAAAAAGAACATGTCGAAGTCAAAAGAGTTATGCACCACCCAAACGAGGACGTGGACGCGGTCGTGGAAAAAGAAAGTTTGACCGATCGGATATTGGTATCAGTAAAAAAATGCGACTTGAGCAAAACTTATCGGCGATTGAAAATTCTACAACAGCATTGATAACTTTGGATGAGGAATCGACATCATCTGAAATACAAAATGATTCTTCGGAGCTTTATAAAGCACTTCGTCAACCATTAAAAGGTATGTTATTAAATTCTTTTATACTATCTTCATTAGGAGATGATGGTACACAATGTTCAATACTAAACCAATCTCGTGTAGTAGTTTCAGATCATCTGAAGAAAGCTAACGACTCAAACATTAAAGAACCGAAAGAATCTTCTGGTATTCCAGATCATCAAAATTGGTTAACCCCATTGTCGAAAAAACAAATCGACAACAATCGTAATGATGGAATATCCATGGTTCAAGTTTTGGATGAAGAAACGCGAATGAGTGCTGAATCTGTTTCTAGATCTCAAACACCTGCCAGAAATATTCCCAATCAAGGTAAAATTATATCGATTATTTTTTTTTTTTATATAATTAAGTGATAATTTATTTATTAATTAATTTTTTTTTTAATATTTCGGGAAAATTTTTTTATTTAAACAGTAATTATTATTATTATTATTATTATTATTATTATTATTATTATTATTATTATTATTATTATTATTTTTAGTTGATTATAGATTTATGATTTCAAATTGTAATTTAAACTGAATTAAAATATATATTTCTATCCGCAGTCTTATAACCAAGTCATCTAAAAATAGTCACTTATACCAACGTTCTTAGATTGCCGTACAAATAAACTTATCTTGTCGTGTTTACAGTCTTTTTGTCATTAAGCATAATAAGCTTTGCATTTATAAATTTTAGTAATATTTATTCATAGTCACTTTAAATAATAATAATACCTTATTACTAAAGTGTATTTATATCAATTTATTTCTAAATGTGTCTAATTATAATTTCAAATAATCATAATAATAATAATAATATACATGATTTGATAATTTTTAACAGAAACAACAATTAATGAAGAATCTCAAGGAAGTGTTATAAGTACCGCTACAACAGAATCAGAAAAAGTAAAAGTGAAAAATCGAAGAATGGAAATAAATTTTGATCCAGACGAAGGGCCATTTACAGTTGAAAAAATAGCTGAATATGAATGGCCATTGGATCGTAAAGGTGAAACATTTATGATCCAAGAACAAATATCACAGTATCTTGGTGTTAAATCATTTAAAAGAAAATATCCAGATTTAAAAAGACGCATGGTTGATATGGAAGAAAGAAATTATTTAAGAGAAAATTTACTTGTTAATGAAGCTATGTGTGACATGGGATTAACTGCAATTTGTAGCTCAGAAGTACTTGATATTATGTGTAGTGATTTTCCTGATCAATATGAAGAGTATCGTAAGCATATGCGTGAAAAACAAATAAAAGAACACTCGAAAAAACAAAAAGAACTCACCGCAGCAGCTAATGCTGAAAAAAATCGTATTGATCTTGCTGAAATGGCTGTTCAGTCAGCTTTATCGTGGAATGTTAACTTTAACAAAGCACGTAATGAGTCACGAAGATGTAGTTTAGATCTTCAAACGTTTACTATTCATGTACCGACAAAACAACCTAAAATCAATGATGAAAATAAAATTAGTCATTATCCAGTAGCCCTTATTCCTGGACAGTATACTGATTATTATCGAGAGTATACGCCGGCAGAATTAAGATATTATCCTCTAAATACTGTTCTTTATGGACCAATGAGGCCTAACGAACGAAAATTCGATAGTCAATCTGAAGGTTCTCAAAGTGATAGTGACAGTGATTCATCTTCTGATGATTCCAGGTAAGGTTCAATTTGAAAAATACATTTTTTTTTATTGTCTTTCATTTTATACAACTAAATAATTGTAAATTTACAGCTGTTCATCTAGTGAAGGTACCCAAGATACCGAAGAATCACAATCAACAATAGATGATGTAGATATTGAATTATCGAACCAAAAAGATAAATCATTCAAATGCAAAATGTGTCTCAAGCATTTAAATAAGAATAATAAAACAGAAGTTTTAATTCAATGTGGTACTTGCCATGGACATGGTAAATTATTATTTTATTTTATCGTTTATTAACTTTTTACTTTCCTTAAAAGTTAACTTTTTTTTTTTTTTTTTTTTTTTTTTTAATTATTTATTGTCATTAACAATTTGCTTATTAAAAAATTTAACTAAAGAAATTTAAAAAAAAAAATAAAAAAAAAAAAAAAAACTAGGAAATGAGATTTTAAGTTTGGAATTATATTTTTATTGTTACTTTTTCCAGTACATCCATCGTGCTTAGACTTGACTCTAGATATGGTTCCTCATATTCATGCCTATGCTTGGCAGTGTACAGATTGTAAAACATGTGCACAATGTCATGATCCAGCAGATGAAGATAAAATGCTCTTCTGCGATATGTGTGATAGAGGGTAAGAATAACCATATAATAATTTCTTCTTTATTCATTTGATGTTGACTAATATCTTTTCACCTATTTCAGATACCACATTTATTGTGTTGGTTTGAGAAGAGTACCACAAGGTCGATGGCACTGTCAAGAATGTGCAATTTGTGCGAGTTGTGGTTCAAGGGAAGCTGGTGGCATGAATGCTGACCGAAATAGTGTAGCACAATGGCAACATGAGTACAAAAAAGGCGATAAAAATACTAGAATTTACGTGTCTACACTCTGTGTACCTTGCTCCAAGTAAGAAATTAATATACAATAATAATTTTATTTTTTTTTTTTTTTAATAAAATAAAATCATCTTCATTAATTTGTCATTAAAACGGCATTAAACTTTTGAAAGAATTTTTTTTTTTTTGGTATTATTTAATAATGGATTAATAAAGTGGATGTTGAAACTAATAAATATAACCATTTTAACAAAACTTTTCAAGCATTAATATAATTAACAAAAATCTGTTGCTGCAAAATATATTTATCCTAAAAGATTGATATTAATAAAACAACACAATGCTTTAAATCACTAACTTCTTTGTCATTTATATCGTTAATAAGGCTATGGAGGAAAGGTCGTTATTGCCCACATTGCAGTCGCTGTCATACTGTGTCAAGACTCGACGTGGAAGAAAATCTTGTGCACTGCAGTGCATGCGACAAATATCTGCACTTAGGTATTGATATCATGGTCATCGTCATTCTTTCTTCATAAAACATATTCGATTTTTATTTAACTTACTTAATGCACGATTTTTTCTTTTTACTAATCATTTAATTTTAATGTTTAAAATTTTAATTATAACTTAGATGTTCATATCTGATAATTTATCAAAAAATTTCAGATATTTGAGCATTCTATAAATATTCGCTTTCATATCCTATTCAGGTTTTAATGTTGAATATTTTTAGATATTCGATCACGAATTTCAATTGAAAATATTATGTTTTTTTTTTTTTTTTTTATAATTATTTAAAAGATACTATAACAATTATGAGGGTATTCATTTTGTATCATTAACATTAATTTTATATTTTTCAGAGTGTGTGGAGAACAAGATAATCGATAGAAAAAATTATCAATGTGATGTTTGTATGCAAAATCGCCAACGAATAATTAAATCTTCAGTATCCAAAGCCATTAGAGCATAAATGAAAAACATTTTCAACAATAATGAATCCAACATCTATTTGGGAGTTAAAGACTGTTTTAATTGGTTACTTATTATGGAAAAAAAATTTTTTTTTTCGTTTTGACCTTTTTTTCTACACTTAATCATGCTTTTAAATATAAATTAAAATAAAGTTATCACTTGAAAATGAAAAAACTATTGTAATGCTATTTGTATAATTATTTTATATAAGATGACACACTGATAAAAAAAATTTGTTTTATTTTGTTTATTGTAATATTGACAATTTCGATGTACAATCTAGTATTATTAATATTTGTTTATCCTTATGAGTGGAAAAAAAAAACACATAGGTAAATATATCTTTATTATGTGTACAGCGAATACCTTACGAATATTACAATAGCGATTATTTTTTTTAAATATTTGTTTTTGTAATACATAAGATGATTTAATGGAAAAATAAAAAAAAAGTGCATATATTATAATAATATTTTTTATTACTCGAAAAACGTTATTTTGAATTTTATAAATAATGAAATAAAATAATATGGTGCGGTGTTATATTGAAGGTAAAAAAGAAGCAGATGAATTTCTCAAAACTCTTGTTTTTATTTATTATATATATAGTTTTTTTTTTTTTTTTTTTTTTTTTTTTTTATTTTAGTAACTTTACATCGGAATTATTCTGAGTTTACTTAGTTTGATAATCAAAATTAATATTTTTACCAAACTTAATTTTTTAAATATTTCAACAACTTATTATCAACTTTTGTGAAGAATTTCGTTTCTTGACGTTTTATTTGTAAACTAATTATTCAGTCAATTAAATGCCAGTACAATAAATTAACAAATAATAATGTATGCATTTATAAACATTTGTATCAATATAGTAATTTTTCGATATTTTTTTTTCTTTTCGATGTAAAAAATTGCCAATTAAAGCAGAATTATTCATATTATGGCTGAATACACTTGCGGCATGGATGCTAAAAACAAAAATTCATTTATTGTGTCACAAACGTTTAAAAAAATGTACAGTTACGATCAAATGATATTATAATGTTTAACATTGTAATTCCCAAAATTAGACATCACTTATAACATTTAAAGTTCATTCAAAAATTCTATAAAAAATTTTATCAACATTTTATTGACAAAATTTACTTACACACTTATACAAAACATTCCATGATGTTATATTTTATACAAAAAAAAAAAAAGTAACATAAAATAGAATACCATCTTTAGTAAGAAAAAAACAGACATTAATAATATACACTCTACGTTGCCAAATTTATAATGCAACATTTATAGTGTTATTTATAATAGGAAATAACAGTTTTTCAATATTATTAATTCTTTTGTGACTAGTTATGAGGCGGAGAAATAACTAACTCACATTCAATACTACTTTCAATCATTAAATGTTTACAAGCATTGGAGAAATAAGAATACTAAAATAATAATTGGAAAAATTTTCATTACATACAATTTTGAATAAAAAAAACTTGGAGTGTAGAATTGTATATTTGATAACTTATTCGAATTATTATTTATATGTAATAATTATTTTGAAAGTAATTTATTTTTACAATCATTTGAACTTTCAATTCAAGTTTTTATATATTTATATAAATTAACAGCATTTTAATTACACGGAGTTAATAATTACACGTTGAACAAACTTTCGATTTGTTGATTTCATTTTATTATTTATTTTTTTAGTTTAGGTATTTATTAATAGATATAATAAAAAAAAAAAACTCCATATATTCAATGTTCAAGATGTTTTTTACTAGTTAAAATTTTAATTTACACAGATAAATAGTTTGTGTCGGTCATTTTTTCCAAGTTTTATTAAATTTTAAAATGATTTAAAAAACGAATAAAAAAATCATAATTGACATGAAAATTGATTTGTTTGCTGAAAGTATACGATAAATTAAAAAATTTTACATCGTTTCATATACAATTATTTAACGTTCATGCAGTTGATTTTATTACCACTTAATTTACCTTTTTAATTATTTGCAATAGTGAACCAACGAATGAGGTAGTAGTACATTTGTCTTATTCGTGTCTAATACCACAAACAGACAAAAAAGTACTAAAATTATGTAAGTGAATAGTTGGTATCATAGTCGTGACTAGATTTCTACTTGAAAAATTACTAAGAACCCTTTGTATTGTAGAAGGTACCGGTGAGCTACCAATTTTATAAAAAATTCTCAAACTACACGTTGGATTTTCATTCCGCGATTCTTTCGTCAGCTTCGCTAATAAATATTCAAAAGCTTCATTTAATTCGGCGTCAGTTAATTCAGGCGAATTGAGAGAAGTTTCCGTTGCCAAGTTTCCAGTAGAATTGGACGACCCTGGATAAATTTATAAATTTTATTAATCCACAAATATTATTAAATAATTTAAAGTATATTTCTTTAAAAGCTTACTCACTCGTCGATAAATAACAAACTATTGCCGAAACGTCGTTCTCGTAATTCCATCTTCGTCGTATTGCAACTTTGAAATTACCAACACATCTACCAGTTTCTTCATCTACAAAATTTAATTATAAATTTTTGAATAAAATATCAAGATTACAAGTAATATAAATAAACTTACATTCAAATCTATTGTTATGTCTATGAGCCCAGACGCACCATTCAACATGAGCGTTACGTGGAAGATTAGGTACAACAATATAATCAACAATAGCATTATTTGTACGTTTTTCCCATTCTTTTCGTGCTTCAGCTATATAACTTGGGTGAGTTAAAAAACAGATACCTTGAACGATATCTCTTAATTGAGTTGACGAATCCATTGCATTGACTATTCTATTTATGTGTCTCAGGGAAAGACGACATTGACGTTTGATATTTAAATCAGGTATTGATAAATTACCAGGTACCAGCGGAATCTGTCCCGCTACTGCGATTATATGTCCTACCTAAAAACGGATATAAAAAATAAATATATTTTTGCACTGCCATAATTGAAAAATAGAATAACTCAGTTATCTCATACTCGTATAGCTTGCGAGTAAGGTCCAATATTTGCAGGAGACCAGTGACTGATACTTTGTACATGCATAGTGTGTCTCTTCAGTACTGTTTCTTCACTACTTTTTTCAACTTCTTTATAGGCCAATGCATCGAGAACTACGTGAACATTCAAAGGACACTCAATACAAACACGAGCTGGTGGATTAACTTGGCCTAATCTTGCGGCATAAACTTGGTTTATTAACGGATATTTTGACATATCCCGAACATAAAGTGTTACTGCGACAATATTTGTCATTTCTATTTCTTCTTTCATTACTAGGTCTAAAAGAATTAAAATAATATTAATATAGTAGTATTTTATCATATTAATTTTTTATATTGTTCATTTATTATAGAATGAACATAAATAAATAAACAATTAAGTTTACCTACTGCTTAATTTATCTAAAGCCTCCTCCATTGCTTGCTGAGAATCATCATTTTTACTGGTAATTCCGCCAAACCAATACCATCCGTTCTGATTTCTGTTAGAAATCGGAATATCAGGATAATCATCATTATCATATTTTATCTCAGTTGGACTTGGTGGATTTAACGGCCCAGAATTTGATGATTTTATGCTTTTATTGTCGCATTCTTTATCTTCATGATCACTATCTGAGAGATTACAACCATCTTGTAATTCTGGTCCGACGATTTCGGCAATGTAGTCGTAAGGGGTTTTAATCGGAATGTTTTTAAGTCTCTCTTGAAGTGTTAGATTATCTAAGTCACCCTAAGTAATTTTCAATATATTATTTACAAATTATTACCACTACATGAATAACATAAAACAATAAAAGGAAATCTTACTTCTTTGTCTTGTAATTTAATTTTCTTGAAATTTAAATATCCAACGGGAGCTATTTTTTCATTTGATTGAACAACACTCTCGTACTCGTCTCTATATAAATAAAAAAAAAAAAAAAAAATATTTATTTATTTCAATCAATAAAGGTTGAGAATTGTAATTATTTTAAATATTTGCTTACATTACAATGCTTTTACTGAAGAGCGGGCAGTCTAATGTAAATGTTTCATATTCTCCTCCTTCTCCGCACACGTTCACCCCGTACATGTCATTCTGTAGATAAAAAGAATCATCCGTGATAACCCCTGTCACAAGTGAGTGTCGCGAAATAATCCGTTCAATTATTATTTTATGAAATTAATTTTTTAATCCATCGGATCTTTTTTTGAGAAATGATATTAAAAAATTTTACCAATCAAAAAAGAAAGTAAATTTTCATGTACTTAAATATTAAACAATAAAACCCAAAGCTAATAATAAAAAGTATGTTGATTATTATTAAGCAATCGTTTATTATTTATTGTTCATAAATGAAAAATAGCTTTTGATAACGCAGCTCCGAAAATAACTGTATGAGGAAACTTGGGATGGTACGAGCAAAGAAATGTTGGACTCGAATATTGGAACAAATCCAATTTAAATTTAATACGCATTTAAAGATTCAAGTTAATGAAAAATATATAAAAAAAAAAAAATAATTTTTCTAGATTATTTAGATTATTTTAAAAAATTGTTCCATTAAAATTTTAGTTACTCACCAGTATAGTTAAATTATGTTGCATTTCTGATATTGATTTACCCAGGTGTTTAGGCTCAAGACCTTGGCATGCTACTTTTATCAATACAGCATTTAATGAACATTCAATCATTTCTTTCAGTAATTCATCTTGATTTCGGCGCCACAAATATGCAAGTGATATAAGCCCTAACCTACTACATCTGAAATGATAATTTTTTTTGTAATTATTTAATACATTTTTTTCTTTCATTGCAATAAAAATGATAAAAATTAAAACAATTGATAAGGTTATTACACATTCTCTACTCGAATTCTTTGATAGTCACTAAGAATAGCACCTGAAGCAACAGCATCAATATTTTCTTTTTCCTAGAGCAATAAAATATGTTCATTTTTAATTATTTTATAAATATCAACAATAATTTAAAACTTATGTAATAATTAAAATACCATGACTTTTGTGAGTAATCGGTAAAGGTCCTCCACTTCGTCGTCTTTAGTAGGAGAATAGTATTTTTCTGTCATACAAGATTTGCCAAAAGTAGGTTCTCGATATAGACGTAACCCGATGGCTTTTCCAATATATTCTATACCCTGATGCCCTACTGTTTGATACATAAATGAGTCCAGCTCATCTGAAAATTAAAACATTCAAAAAATTATTATTTATTTCTGATCAGTAAAATAAAATAAAATAAATAAATAAATTAATACCTTTCCCAACGGGATATAAATTTGCTAAAGCCACAACTTCATGACCAGCAGCAATGCATTGCATTATACTGAAAATAGAATCTTTTCCACCACTTATTAAAGCCACAACCCTCATCGTGGTAAATTCAATTGTTTTCAGTAGAAAAAAAAAAAATAAATAAATAGATCTGTGACAGGGCAGACCCAGGTCAAACTTGACTATTTTCACGCAAACATCTGTTACGAAAAAAAAAATAAAAAATTAATACTGTTTTAATTATAAATAATTAAAATGGGAATAAATAAATAACAATGATCTAATTGGTACTAATTGTTTCTTACAAAAGCTAAACGTATACTTAAAACATGCAGCTTTAAAGAAATTAAAACTATGACAAAATATTCTCACTGAGTAAGTTTATGAAGGTATCTTTATAAAATAATAAAAATACAACAGCATTATATAGAGCTTAATTTACGACCACGAATGGACAACGCTCATACTCTGTTTTTCATTAAAAAAAAAAAAAAATATATTTAAATGAGAAAAATAAAAATACACACCAAGACAAGAATAGCTTTTTAATACTTAATTTTCAGATAAAATATTAATTGTTTGAATACATTGTGGAAATCATGTGTTCTTATCGAATATCTTACTAAAAATGAGTGTGTACTTATCGCAAATGATCCAAAAAAAAAAAAAATATCGGGCATTGAAAAAATTCAAGAGAGATGGTAGGAGGTAAAAAAATTTTTTTCTAATAATTAAAAATTCTGAATTAAAAATAAGAACCAAAATATGTTTTATAACGAATTTTATAGCTAATTAGTATATAAATTAATTAACGTTAAAAAATACTTATACTTACATTAAAATTAGTCTGAGATACCTTTTACACGAAAAATCGTGGGCAAAAACTTCTATACACTAATTGATCTGCCACCTCGTGTTAATTTTTCAAAACTGTTAAATGTAAGGTTATTTAAAAATAAAAATTATCTCAAATATAGTATTTTAATTTAATTTTTTACGTCAAATTAATTGCAGTTTATCAATTAAATTTTTAAAATATCAGTACTTTTATTAATATTATATTACAATAACACTTTAATGACAGTTTTCAAAGAAGAAATTTTTGTGTTTGAAAAACTCATGCCGTTCGTTTCGCGCGACCGTAGTTTGTGACGTCAACATGCAATTGTGAAAATAAAAAATTTAATATTTTACAATTATAGTAAAAATTGATTATAAGCAATGATTGGAAAAAATAAAAAACTTGATTTTTTCTCAACTTCGTGTTATAATTATCGTACTTTTAATAATATTTCATAATTTTTTCAATAATAAAATAATTTTGATTATTAATTTCTAACAAAGATGTCGCATTATGTTAAAGAACAGTACCGTATCATTCTATATAAAAACCAAGTGACTGCTTGATAAATTATTTTTATTTGTTTCAAATATTCATAATATTTTACTGAATATTTTACTTGACTATAATATTTTACTTGACTATCATTACGAACATTTATTTATAACAATGTTTATCTGATTAAATTAATTGTTTTTAATAGAAAACATAAATACGTATGACAGAAGATTAAATTATGAAAGACTCGTCAATTGTTATTTTCATAATACTGTAATTAATCAAAATTTTGTCTATCAATCAAAATCCTCAATGCAATATACAATTATTGTTTTATTAATCATGATTTTTTTGTAAAAAATTTATAATATTGCATTACTATAAAAATGAAATTTTATTATTTTATATTTATTTTAAAGATTATAATTTTCAGAAAATGGTATAATTATTAATAATAACGCTCAGGATTCAATAAACGATAATTACAGAAAAAAATAATAATTAATTAAAAAAATTGTATAAGAACCCTAATTAATAAATTAGTATTAATCCAGGTATGATTAGTTCCCCCAACGTAGCCATTTTCTAACAAAAATTTGTATCCGCCAATCAGAATAAAATATTATAGGTCGCCATTTTAACTTTCGCTACGGTCGCACGAAAAAATCTATAGCTTGCGTCTGAAACAGTCGAGATGAAGTAACACGACGCACACATCTCACAGTTAAAGCATAGTCTTTTAACGAATCGCACGTACGCAAGTACGCTGTAGATTTCCCACTGAAATATTCATTTTTATACTTAAAAATAATTTTGAACAATTGATAAGTTATTTATGTTTATTTAAAGTGTTCGGAAGTATTGAAATATTGAGAACAAAATGGTTTTAGCGGAAAGAAATTCTGAAAATGTTAGAAATGGTAGGCGATCAAGAGGTCCCAGCCCTAATCAGTCTGAATCTTCTAGTGAAGAAGACGGAGGTGAGCATATTTCACATATTTATAATTTATTATAAATATCTTTCAAAATTTGTTTTACATAATTTAACATTTCAACAGAAAATATCAAATTATAAGTTGATAATTCATTTTTAATAGTTGAAATTTGAGTGGTACTCAAATCTTATGCTTCGAGTTGAGCAATGAATGCTATCAATTTTTTTTTAATTTATTTATTTCATGTAATAAAACTATAATTATTAATTGAGGTTATGAATTCATCTAAGAATTGAAATTTCAGTTCCAGCAGAAAAAATTAGAGTCGGAAGAGATTTTCAAGTGATTGTACCAGAATTTATTCCAGTAAATGGTATGTATTAATCAATGATATTTCTAATTAAGTTGTTAAAATATTTAACAATATATATGTATGCATAGGTTTATTATATATGTGAATTTTTTTTTTTTTATTTTAGAACGTCGGTTAGATAAATGTCCTGACAGAGCTCTTCTAGTTTGGTCACCAACTACTGATATTCCAGATCAAAAATGCAAGTTTTTCAATACATTATTTTGGCTGTGAATGTTTTTCTTTTCTTACAATGAGATGTATTAATTTAATTTTTTTTGCAAATTCTTACAGTGGATGAATACATTATATTGGCTAAAGAAAAATACGGATACAATGGCGAACAAGCATTGGGAATGCTTTTTTGGCATAAACATAACTTAGAGAGAGCAGTTTTAGATCTATCTAATTTCACTCCATTTCCTGATGAGTGGACTGTTGAAGACAAAGTATTATTCGAACAAGCCTTCCAATTTCATGGAAAAAGTTTTCATCGTATACGCCAAATGGTAAATTTAATAAACAAAAATTTATCTTGACAATGACATATTAATATTTATTGAAATATAATTTTATTGTCTTTTCTTTATTTAATAGCTTCCAGATAAATCAATAGCGAGTCTTGTTAAATACTATTATAGTTGGAAGAAAACGAGATCCAGAACATCTTTGATGGATCGTCAAGCCCGAAAATTAACAAGCAGTGGAAAAGATGGCGAAAATGGCAGTGAAAATGGAAGCGAATTAGGATCAAATACAGATAGTGAATCCGAAGAAAAAGTAAGAATATTTTTTTACAATCACGTATAACATATTAATAACATAAACTCTGTCGTTGCATGTTCGTATCGGATTTAAGTGTTACTCAATGTAAATTTCATTTATGTTTCCTCTTTTAATACTATAATCATTTTAAATTTCATTCCTAAACAGGTAAAATTCTTCATTTAAATTTATTATTATTTCTTTCTTAATTCGCATGGCGAATGATGAAATTGCTTTTATAAAAATGTATCCACACGGAAATGAAAGAATGAAATGACCAAAAAAAAAAAAAAATCATTCATTTTTTTTGCCCGTAAATATCATCTAGGAGAGCAACAAATAATATTTCGTTTACTGATATTAAAAAAATATATTTTTTCTCTACAATTATAAATGTCGTTATTATCGTTATATATGTACGAATCTTATGTGGAACGTTCCAGAAATGGACGATCCACCGCGGAATACGCCGTGGAAAAAACCAAACTGTGCCAGGAAGCCAAGGTGCCGACGGCAAAGCCTCTTCCGACTCGGAAAACATTCCTCAGGTTCAGGTACTTCAACCTAGACCTTACCCCATACATTATTTCATATGTTATTTTTACATTAATAATAGTCTTGATAATTATAAGTATATATTTACAAATATACAAATATTTATAAATATATTTATACATATATTACATTGCTTATAATTTTTTTATATTTCGCTATTCTGTTATCCCGCTCGCTCGCTCTTTGTATTTTTATTCATTTCGCCGATAATATATAACACAGTTGAAAAGTTTAGTTAATCAAAACACGATAAATATATATATATATATATATATATATTTTTTTTCCAAAGTCTACGTAGTTGAAAAAAAATTTCACACAACGATATTGTTATTAATTTTGATTCTATTAAATAGTTTAATGGCACGAATAAAATTCTCAATTAAACGTAGATAAATGTTGAGTTTTTCAAGAAATTTGAGTTTTAATCACAGTAATAAAGTAATGAAATAAGTAAATGAATACAATTATTAATATATAGGCAAGCGAGGGGGGTTTATATACACCGTACAATTGCTGTTTAACTTTAAAGGGAATTATATGTTGTAGGGGTCTTGTAGCAACTGCGGTGTTGCTTGTCATAATGTTCGTGCAACGCCAAAGGGACACGCGTGTCATAGCTGCTATCTGCACTGGAGGTCAGTGAATTGAAATACAAAATCAAAATAAATATATCAATATATATTCACCTATACACTTACACACACACCTGTAGAAGTTTTTGATAAAGTATTTACTGTGTTGATAAATGGTTTAGGCGTACGGGCGTCGCGAGGCCGCTGAGTTCCATGCCGGGTCGTTCAAATAAAAGAAAACCCCCGCGAGGACTGGTAGTTAACCATGACGATCTAGCTGTTCTGGCTGGCCAGCCTAATCAAGCAAACAATAGTTTGCAGGCTATCGACACTGAAATTATTAGCCTTAAACGACAAGTATGTTATTATCGTGTGGATACATTTTTTTTATTATGATGATTTTTTTTTTCCTAATTATTTACTATAATATATTTACTCTAATAACATAATTCTAAATAATTAAATGGCAATTAATTTTAGATACAGACTAATAAACAACAAGTCAGTGCACTTAAACGTAAAACTGTTGATGGCATTGACGACTTACGTCCACCTGAAGTCACCAATCGTATTAATGCACGGTGGACTAATGATGAGTTACTTTTAGCCGTTCAAGGGGTACGCAAGTATGGAAAAGATTTTTCAGCAATCGCAGATGTTATTGGAACGAAAACTGAAGCTCATTTGCGATCATTTTTTGTAAATTATCGCCGGCGTTATAATCTTGATGCTGTTTTGAAGGAATATGAAGCTGAAAATGGACCGATTCTTATTGATGATGAAAAAGATGAAAAAGTGAGTTATCGATTAAATTAAATTTTGATTACAAAGGTTGTTAGTGGGTTTTTTTTTTTTTTTTTTTTTTTTTTTTTTTTTTTTTTTATATGTCAATTCATGGAAACATTTTTGTTTTAGATTGAGGTTGAACAAACACAAAATAATGAATCTCCCGAAACTTCACAAAGATCTAAATCATCAACTAATGTTAATCAAGCTGCGAAATAACAAATGTCTTAATCATTTACATGGACATATAAAGGTGATTAAGTCCATCACGATCAGTGATGATTTTACTAAAACAAAACCGTTTAAATTATAGATTACTACTCATGTTATAAAGTATCAAGATTCTTATTTAATTTTTTAGTGTCTTATTATATTCTATTTTTTACTTACAAAGCTACAATTCAATAATAATGATAATACTATTTCTTTTTTTTTTTTTAATTCAAAATAATATTTTAAAAAATATTTAAAAGTTTATTTCTTTTATTTTCTCGACACTGTTGATTTAATTTGATTTGTTAAATTTCATAACAAAGTTTAAAAATTAAAAATTGAATTAATTTTTAGTTAGGTATTTCAAATTTCCATTATAGTTATTAACCATGTTCTTAGCTTTTTAATTAGTTGTAAATGTATAAAATTTATATTATGCTTAAGACAATTAATATATTTAATTATATTGAGAAATTAAAAACTTAATAATTAAATATTTCAAGCTCATAAAAAATTTTCATGCAATCGTATAAATCTTTTATAAATAATATTTATTGAAATCTAAAGATTAATTCAATTCAATTATTTCTCACATAAACACACATACACATAATCGTTTTCGCTTATTTGTTAAAAAAATTTTTGAAAATTAAGAAAAAAAAACTTAAAGAAATACTTGACGATTTTTTTTTTTTACTACTACATTTTCAATAAATATATAATTGAGGAAAGTAATTATAAATTGACATAGAAATCTATAATCTCTAGTATGCAGGAATAAATCAGGCTAATCTATTAATTATAAGTGAAATTATTCAGAACAATAAATGTGGATTGAAGGCGTTTGAATTGTTCTTATTAAAATTAAATGAGAACCATCTATTGTAAATAATTAAAGTAATATAATTATCATATAATTTCACATTAACAACTGAAATTGATGAATTGTACAGATGTACAATGTAAATAACAATGGTTTCAAAAGAGTAAAAAGTATTTTTAATTATTATTATTATTTACTTGAAATACCGTCCTTCATTGGATTTTAGTTTTTTTATTGTTTTTAAATATCTTTAATATTTCAGTAAACTGCGAAAGTTGAATTTATTTAATATGTTTATAATTATTTATAGAAGAATTTGATTTAAGTAATTTATATTAGAATTAAGATAACTCAATTATAATAATGGTAAATGATAAGATTTAATTTTAATGTTTGCCAAATGGTAGATTGTGGGTGAGTGAAAATAAGTAATAATTCGACTTCAAATAAAAAAAAAAAAAAACATTGTTTTATTTCCATAAATCCCTTTCTTTATCTATCTAAAACTTAATGTATTTTAATATGTTCCAAAAATCTGTATAATTGCGTTTTTTGATGTTTTAAATAATCTTTACTTTTTATGTCAAGAACAATGGAAAGCTTATTAACATGATTATTTTCTAATTCAGTTAAATTTAAAATATACGATTCTAAATAACTAGATCCAGTTTCATCTAATTCATAAATGTATTGCTTCTTTTTGTACACATGTTTCTTGAATGATTGTGATGCCATACAATTAAAAAAGATGTGAAGAATTTTAATGTCTTCGCGATATATTTCATGATGATCAAACGGACTTTCCAAAGAACTTTTAGTGGCTATCGAATTTTCGATACTTTTAATAAAATATTCAATAGTATCCAATATACACTTCATATTACAATTATCTATTACGTTTGGTACTATTTGTAGGTATTCATCTTCATTATTAGATTTATGATACATAAATGATCCAAGGACACAAATTAATTCATAAAGATGTATTTCAGGACTTTTTAGTTCTTTTGTGATGAAATTTTTTCTATCATGCAAATTATTATCGCTATTATTTATTAAATCGTCGGACTCGATTAAAACTATAAACCAACATTGATTAATATTGTCCCATTGTGTTGACCACGCAGAATTTCGAAATTTTTCTGCCACCATTATACGAATTTCATTGGTTTCATCGCACAACAATGAAATAAATGATTCTATTATATGAGTTTGAGAAAAATGATCAAAATAAAATAATGGTAAATCAAATAAACATTCAATTGCCCACATTTTGTCTTCTTTATCACCACCATGGACTACGTCGACTATGTTATCAATAAGATTTTTTTGAATTTCATAAAAACGATTCAAATTGTTTTCATTTTTTACATCATAGTGCTGTATACATAAAACAATCAATGTATGTGCTAATTGATTTACTTTTTTATTTCTATTATTTATTAAAAGTTTTTTTGATAATTCAAATATTTTATAAGCAATGTTATTATTTGATTCACAAAGATATAGGTTTCTATTTTTACCATCATATTTCATAATTTCAACAATAAGTTTGACTAAATCAATGAATACATGATTATTTAAATAGTCGTATAATAATAATGCTTCAAACAAATGTGAACGTTTCTCTATAAAATCTGATTTATTTAAATTTTTTAAACGTAGTTTTTGCGTTTTGAGTGCATGACGCAAATGTTTTACAAAATAATGTATAATATCTTCATTATCTGTTGAAATAATTTGAGAAATGTACGTTTGGTCGATATATTCAGAAAGATAGTCGATATGTTCAAGTTTGATTACCAAGAAAATCAGTTTAAACAAGTAATTTATCATTTCTGGCTCACCGATATGATTTTTATTTTTTTGACTTTTTAAAATTTTATCAAAACTTTTCAATAAAATTTCAACACTCAATTTATCAGTATACCGCATTGATAATACAATTAAATTCTGTAAAAATGTTGTTTCAATAATGCTACAGAGAGGTTTTTCACACATTTCTTCAGTGTTTGTCCAATAATCAATCATCGAATCTACTCTTCTGATTTGAAGGTCGCTACATTTTTTAATAATTTTTTTTGCATGTAAATTATTAGAAAAATTTTCGACATCAATGACCGTATAAGTCCCAGATTGTTGTAAACAAATTTGAGCTAACAGATGTCCATGAAGAAAATTTCTACTTTTACTTACAAGAGTTTCCATTTTCATGTCAAGTAATTCACTGTAAATTTTTTGATTCGGTATTAAAGCAGCATATGATTTAGCTGCTAAGTATCGGACGTTTTCAACTGGATGACCAAAAAGTATTCGAAGAAATTTTTTGAATTCATTGATGTATTTTTGTGAAGAATAGTCAGTGAATTGGCAACCACCAACAGACATCCGTGATAGTAATGTAAGAATAGGAACAATTGTACCATCAAAGTTAAAAGTAGAATTATTCTTGAGCTGTTCTAAAACAAATTCTGACAACTTTGGATAATGGGTTACGAAATGGTTCACAGAGTAACCAGTCCCGAAACTTAGTTCATTATCACTACATTGACCTACTAATCGAGGTATTACTACTCCTAAAAGTTGAAGACTTGCATTTCTAATAGCCCACTCCGATGATTGTAGATGTTGAAAACAAATCAATGATATTGTTTCTATATAAGGAACTAAATCAACGTGTAATGATTTGTCAACAACTATTGAACGTAAAAAATAAAGTAATCGAGCAGAAGGAGAATCTTGATTTGAATTTGAGTCATTGTTATACTTGTTATTTGGATCAGTTAGTGATTCTAATATTTTACACACAGCAACGTGTAAAAGTCTTCGAGTAGCTTTATTATAATTTACTACCATTTTATGAAACATGATAGATAATCCTGCACCACGTCGTGTTAAATTAATCTTGTCATCATTATCTAAATTTAATAATTTATTTAAATATGAATCAAACAAACAAGTGTATTTTTCAAACCGAGATAATGATTGTACTGCCATTCCTAAAGCGCACCCAGCAGCTTCAATTGCTCCTTTATGACGACACTTTAATAAAACAGAAATAATCAATTCCAGTGAGCGCTTAACGTATTCAAAATTTTTAACTTTAATAGAAAAATTCGCTGCTAGCTCACAAATATTTTTTAATGCCATCCAAATATTTGATATAATAATTTGATGTGCTGGCGAAAGCAACTGGTTATCAAACTCGTCGTTAATATCACTATTTTTAATTGTTTCATCTATTGCTATTCCCATTTCTGCAAATGATGCAGAGTAATGAACTTGAGATGATTTCGGTGACAATGCTGAAATAAAAAATTCTGCAGACTCTTCCAAAAGATTTATCAACTTTTCCAAATAAATATCTGAAACATTTAAAGTATTTGAGTTGCCAAATAATTCTTTGATAGCCATCAGCGATCCATTAAAATCAGATCCTTGAATTAAGCCTTTTAAAAGATCATTTTTAATAGAATCAATACTTAGATTAGCACTTTCAAACAGTTTATCATATAAAATAAAATTATTGTTGTGATAGAATGGATTTTGCTTTTGAGGAATCTTCGTTATTAAAATCAAAAGCTTCACACCTCCACAAAGTTCGTAAAACTTTGATGAAATTTTCATAGCTTCTGATTTTTTCAACAACGTATCAATTTCATCAATTGTTAAAACGCTCAAATCAAAATAATTATCAATAATGTTTGATGATACATTCCTTATTTCGTCAATAGGATCAAGACATAATTTAAAAAGTATAAATAAATGATACTTGTTATGAAAAGATTGAATGATGTTATGCATTTGTTGTGTCGATAAACTGTTGCTTAGTTTTTTTATACTTTTCAGGATGATTCCATACAACTTTAACCCCATTATTTTTCTTTGATAACAAGATCCAGGTTCAAAACAATCTAAAATTAAATAATCTAACCATACAACAAAATTTATATCTTCTTGGCTCAGCGATTGTAAAGTATTTCGAAGAAGAGTTTCGAAACTATCGAGCATTCCTTTTCTCAATAAAACTGAACATGCATTAATATTAAAGTATAAAAAATGTTTTATCAATTCATAGCTATTTATATCTCCGTAGCTATTATTTTTATGACACTGAATGGCAAAAATATTTAGTTTCACACAATCTCGTTGATCATTTATAATTGGAGGAATAGGATTAAATTCACTGCAAATCCACTGTACGACATTGAATTGGTTTTCAGAATTAATTTTCAGATTTTCTGAATTTAATTCCGCCCATGATCGTCCCAATTCACCAGCTTTTCGGGCTAAATACGATTGACATACAATCATATTCTTAGCACAAAAACGGGCCCACAGTAATGGTATTGTAATGCTATTGAATCTATGCAACGTTGGTCTCATCCAAAATTCCCATAAAATTTTTAAAGGATTTATATTATTTCTATAAAAAAAAAAATTATATGCACATACATTCAATATTAATTACATGAAGAATTAAGTTGATACTCTATAATAAACTTACTCTTTTTCCCATATTTCTGCAATGATACACAGCTCATCCATAATTAATTCAATCCATTTATTTTCACTCATTTTATTAATAAGTGCAAGATATAATTTTGTTGATACATGTTTCAAATCATGCTTCTCAAGACTCTTAATAATGATTTTTAGCTCTAAATAATGGAAATCGGGGCAGCCGGTCAATGAATTACAAATTTCGGATAAAATAGTAAACTTTGCCGTACTTTGCCATGATAAATTTTTTTTACAAATTTGAAATGAGTATTCTAGAAATCCTGGATATTTATTTCTCATTATAGTCAAATAAAGTGGAAATATTTTTAAGGCATTTATTTTAGCGATTTCACTAATACTATGATCCCAACTTGAAAAAATGATTATTTCTAAATCTTTTTCAATTGATGGATGATTATGTTGCCAAAATTTCATTTCCTTCGTTTTCTCTAGCCAGATTTTCAATATATGAAAAGCAAAATAATTGTATTTTGAATATACTAAACAATTTCTCTGTATTATTGCAAATGAATTTGTACAAATATCAAAAAAGAGTGGAGAATTACGATTAATAACAAAAAAATATCCATGAACAATCGTAAGTTTGAATAATTCCAAGTCATGAATAGTAAACTCTTTAGTAAACATGAATAATTTTTTAATCTGTAGACTCAATAATTTTTCAAGAATATTTTTTAATTCGGAAGCAGAAATAGTTTTGATTAAGATTGTGAAGCAAACTTGTGATGCAAGTAATATTTTTGTATCCCGTATCTTATTATTTGTAGCTATTGATGCGATTAATTTTACTATAACCGGCTCCCAATTGTTGGAGTTGGTGATTTTCATTGGAAAATTTAATAATTTCTAAAAGAAAAATACTGTAGTGAGATTTTTTTTTCTAATTTATAAAAAATTGAAAATAGTTACTAAGAATTACTTACCTGAAAAATTTTTAGTTCATTGTTTATCACTTTCTCAGCGTCATAATCATTTTTATCTGATTGTAATTCTTTTAATATATCATTTGGGTCGAAAATTTTTTCATCTTTTTTTTTTGAAATTTCTTGAGCTACGTATAAACTTTCCATTTTCGTATTTTTCAAAAATAAAGTATAATCGTATATAATCGTAATTAAAAATTTATCAATAATTAATAAGCCGTCAGCATATTATGATTCTGTTTTATACAAGATCCTTTGATTGATGATTAGTTTCATCATCAGGAGAATGAATAGTGCTTTTATCCCTAAAATTAATATCAATAATAAATGTTTAGAATTAAAAATAAAATTTTATGTACTGCTAATCATTAAAATTAAGTTATTCAAATTTTTTTTTTTTTAATTATTTTATTTATATTAGGATAAGCATTATTAGTGGCATAGACTCAATAATCAGATTATTAATTTTGCATGTATTATTTTTATTATTTAAAAATCAATTAACATTGTATTAAATTAATTAACCTGTTAGTAAGCTATAATTTTTTTCTATTCTGATGATTTTGGAAGGTGACTATCAACGTACCCTTCCTGCTCTATTTTTTCTTTGAACTTTAAATACTCCCGTTTTCTATCGAAGTGTTTTACCTAATAAAAAAAAAAATAAATTCTAGTTCATGTCTTATAAACATTTTATATATAGATAAATTATAATAATATATTTACCCATTGAGGAGAGCAAAATTTTTCGTATTGTTTTCTCAATTCTTTACATTCTGTTTCTGACTTAATGTCAAGACATTTCCAATATTCATCACGAGAACCCCAACAATTTGAACGTTCTTCTTTACTTGGAAATGACATGCCGTCTAAAATGATAGAAAATATTATTTGTAAATAATTCATTATATCAGTTTTCTATTAACGATTTTTTCATTTTTGATAGTTTAAACTTGTTAAAGAGAAGAATTAATTTTGAAAATGTTCATATAATATCTAATCATTACTGTAGCATAAATTTTTAATAAAAGAATTGCTTTATTTTTATTTAACAAGCTTATTTTATTATTTATATTAATAAATTTTAACACACTACGAATTGTTTAGTAAAAGATGAATTTAAAATATTTATTAATTAAATTAATTGCTTTTAATCCTATCTTATTAAATTAATTAAATATTGAAAATAAATAAACTAATAAAATATTTAAAAAACCTACTGAATCCTGACAGATTTAAACTATTAATAGTTTTTAAAATTTATAACGAGGTAATACTAGATTCGATGTAAATAATTTTCTCTGGCAATCATCCTACACCCCCGCAATTTATTTTGGTACAAATACTCTTTAAGAAATATTATGTAATCTCAATTTTAAATTATTTAAAAAAGTTTGAAACAATCATAAACAAAAACATATATTTAATATAAAGTATATGCATACTCATATTCCATTTAAAATTTTTAAAACGACTGTCGTATCAGAAAGAAAATCAACAAAAAAATTTGAATAACCTTAATTTCGTTTTTTATTAATTGAAATAAACCAATAAATTGAATAAACTTTGTTGTATTATTTATTTACCTTTATCAGCTGCCTTTGAGGTTGGGACGCGCACGTTTCATACACTCGAGCATAAATAAGTGAAATGAATGTAAAATGCTTGAATACTAAATACATATATTTAGATAAATATGCATGTCTATACCTATAGAGATATATATTTGAAATTGGTTATCTAAACTCGGATTTAATAAAAATCCCAAATTAAAAAATTTTTGAATAGAAAAACATTTTTAAATAAGCATAAAACTTACAACAATTGATGTTGAATTATAAATTAAAAGTATAATAAATATAACCAATTTTTTAGATAGTTCAACATTTATTTCTTATTTCAATGTTTTAATCAATATATTGAAATATCTTTTTACTATAAAATGAATTAAAACGATACTATTTTAAAGAGTTTTTAGAATTAAAAATTAATTTTACATGAAATTCGAAGTTAATATCTATTGTATCTTCCGCTTTGTTGACTGACGTGCTGAACGTCGTTTTGGCGGAGAAATTTCGGGAGGAGGCATGACTTCTCGATCGCTATTAGTATTTTTTCTATTATTAATGGTGGTGTTAACATTAACAGTGTTGTTGGTTAAATTTTCAGGAGGATTTTCATTTTCTTTATTTTGATTTTGAGTATTTGGATGATTATTCGAGTTTGAATCGTCCATTAATTTTTCGATCTCTTGTTCTAAAATCACGCAAGCTTCTCTAACATCGGCTTTCTTCTTAGCTTGTTCTATTACTTCTCTCAAAGCAAGATACACGTGTTTATTTTGAAGTTTGTCCTTAAAGAGTGAAAGATTTCTTGTTAAATGAGCTATACCCTTTTTATTTAATTGTAAAAGTGATAAGCAATATGTTAAAATTCTGCTTTGTCTTTCTGTAGTTACATCTTTAAATCTAAAGCAAATTTTATCTAATACAGACTCCATTTCTCTTTCTTTGCTGAATAATGAAAATATAAATTTGAAAATGGTTTGTGAATCCTCTTCACTTATTTTCTCCTCATCTGCAGATGAAAACTTGGATAAAATATCTGGTAAAATATTACATAGAACATTAGGTTTTTTAGAGAGTTCTTTAAATAATAATTGAGCATCATTTCTTATTTGTTCATCTTGATCAATGATACACAAAGCCATTTCTGACATTTGTCCTTTTGCGCGAATCATTTCTCGTTTAACCAAACTAGAAAGTATTCTTACAGCTGTCCGACGTACTCCTACATCTTGATCAAAAAGCCTGGTGTACATGTGACTAGTCCAAGGATCGATATCGTTTGTAAATCTGATCATTAAATCAGAAAGACCGATTAAAATATTGGATCTTATTTCCGGATAAGTTGATCGTTCTAGTATTGTCATGAGTAACTGAAGATGGTCTTGACAGAATTTTGAAGATACCGTCATCATCTTAGTAAGTGCCAGCACACCCCAAACCTGAATATATCTATTATTATACTTTTCTGGATTTTGACACACCTGTTCTATGAGAGGAACATATTCTGCTAACAAACCACTTTCATTCACAACGTTATTATCCAAAGCATCGTTAATTGCTTCAGCGTCATTATCATCAGCAGTTGCCCCAGAAAGAATATCTTCTTCAGTTTCTTCTGATGCTGTTGTATTTCTTCGATTCACATTTATTGATTGACGAGCTTTTCTTGCGGATGATTGAACAGAGCCAGGCGATGATGATATCGAGTTGTTTTTATTAGTATTATTCAAAATATTTTTCTTTTTACCTTTTACTGCATCACGAATGGCATTACGACGTTTCAATTCATTGTAAATTTCCACATCAAGATGTACCATGTGTCGGACAGCAACATGACCAATTACATATAAAAATTTAGCTAAATGTGATTCAGGAACATCATTTTCGATCGTAGGTTCTGCTGATAGCTCTGATAAAATTTCTTTCATAATAATATCTGGTGTATTCGCAAACTGATAAATTACATTGATTGCTTCAGTGGCAAAAGAAGCATATGTCATTGGCGAAACTGAGTCAAATTTATTAATCAATAAATATGAGATTGCCTGAAATAATTCATGATCATTTTCAAATTTCAAAGGTTCTTTTTTGGAATTTTCCGTATTTTCATGTTTAATCATAGATATTGCTTTACACGTATCACGTGCTAATAAAATATCATCATGTGTTTGAAAAGCAATTTTAATACAAATATTTAAGTTCTTGAGGATAAGTTTTGGATTTTTAGCCGCTACCATTTTAAGCAGGATAATAGCACAACGACTCTCAATTACTGTTACTGATGAGGTTTTAAAACTATATTTTTCCCACATTATTTGCCAACTATCTTCATCTAAATCTTTGTTATCGCACCACTCTCCTACAAGCTGTTCTAAAGCTGGACTTTGACCTGGTTTTAATGTTTTTAATAAGTTAATCAATCCGTTGACGGAAATCATTGCACGTTGGCGACTTGGAATGTTATCTTGGCTTTTAAAATATATTTCTTTATAAACTTCAGCGACATTCCTTTTCACTGATTCATCTCTACTGAAAGCTTGTAATAATGCCGCATGAAATGCTTCTTCAGCTCCACTAATATTAAATTTATAGGCTTTACCTAACAAAGCACAAGCTTCAATAGCTACTCCAGGTGCTGCTGCGTTTAACATTTGTTTAACAATGGGAATTGCGGCCTCTAATTCTGTTATAAAGGTTATCATACTTTCATATATATTTAAAGTTTGTTTCAAGTAATTTACTGCTTGTTTACGTTTTTTCCATTGAGCACTGTCAAATTTATCTTTACTAGTATTATCGCTTTGTGATTTCAAAAATATATGAGCAAGGAAAAGTAAGAAACAATCTTCTCTGCCATCAATTTCAATATCACAAGAATCAGATGCCAAATTTACTTTTTTTAGAATTATTTTCAATCGCTTCACTGCTGCTAAAAATTTACGATCAACAATTAAACTTCGTATCGATTCCCATTCTTTGTCAATATCTACATCTTCATCTCCATCATCTTGATCATCATCACTTAAATCGCTGTCTTCTTTATCTTCATTATCATCTTCAAAGGATCTTTTGATTGCCTTTTTAATCTCAGGAGCTAGCTGTTTCCAAAGCTCAATACGTTCATCGTCACCGCTTGCACTTTCTGTAACAAAATTAGCTTGTAATTCACGTAATTGTTGTTCAAAATTTTTACGATTATCAATTAATTGTGGTTTGTCAAATTTGAAAGTGAATGGATTGCACTCTAATAGATGACGTATTACTTGAAGAGCTTGTTTTCTCATAATAGCACCAACTTCGAGCAGGTGTGGTGTTACAGCTTTTGCAAGAGGCACTATTTGTTGAATTGGGACTGCCTGAGAAGATAATAATTTTTGCCAAACCTGGAATACTTTAGATCTAACAAAACTGTTACAATCTAATTTATGTGTATATAAAAATTGGAAACATTCATCACGTAATTCTCTCCGTTTTTTAATTAAATTTTCTCGCGACAAACAATTAATGAGTACACTTTCAATTATATCAATAGAACAGATTCTCATTATGTAAGATTCATTATCAAGGAAGCCAAATACATGATCCATAATATCATCAGTGTCTGATAAAAAAAGCTCTGGTTTTGTGGCAGCAATAGTCGAAAGAAATGATGCAATATTACGTGCCTCAGATTCTTCAAAATTAACTTGTTCAATTTCATATAAAATTTCAGTTATAAAACTTTGACCTTGATGTTCGGTAACCATACTTACGACTCCTTGAGCTAATGATGCTACCAAATTATCATACATTTTCACTAGTTGAATAATTTTTATCTTACACGAAACTGCATGACTATAATTTTTAACAAGATTCCCCAAAATTTGCCAAACAATTTGTTTAATTTGCTTATCACTTCTATCTTTGTCAAACTCTATGATTTTATAACAAATATCTGCTAATAACATCACAAATGATTGCTCAACGATTGGTGGGTCCCACAACTCGTTTAATGGTAACTGTAACCAATTATGAATGATGAGTAAAATTTTATTACGCTTAAATTCCCATTCTTTCCTAGCCTCAGATTTTTGGTCCGTTTTCTTCTTTTTTCCTGTTCCTCTATCTCCGAATTGGTTGTTTGATTTAAGTGTATGATCTTCTAAAAAATTCATAAAATTCGAAAGCAAATACGCATGCATTTTGACTTTGCATAAAATTTCCTTTTTATCTTGAGAGAAATCATGAGTCTCCAAATCCTTAACAAATACTTCAGTCGATTTATACAAACGATCAAAAGCTCTCATAATTATTGATTCTTCAATATTTTTACTATGAACTAACACAGCAAAAAAGTCGTCAAAATGGTCTAAAATGAATGCTGACTTTTTAATTTGCAACGCTTGTCGATTATCTGAAATAATATTTATGTGTCTTTTATTGTTTTCGATTAATTCAAAAAAATTTCAATTTTCTATAGGGCATAGAAAATTAATAAAATACTTACCATCAAAAACTTTAGTAAGATCGCGTAAGGCGACCACTGTTTTCACACAATAACATCCATCGACTTCTTTTAACAAATCATCTTTTTTGAGTGGTAAATTGAACTCCATTTTGACTTGATGGTGCAACTAAGAAAAAAAATGATGATAATAATAATAATAATAATAATAATAATTAATACTAATGAATTATATCACTAACCGTTCAGCAATCGCATATATTTTTTAGTATTGCAGCATGTTTTCGCGTGAGAAAAAAATCTAATAGCACAAGTGCTGACAGGTTAATACTTAATATTAAATTTGCAACTTACCTTTTATTTTCAGAGTAATAACAATATTTTATTGATAAATCATGAACACAAATATTTCAAAAAACGTTTATAATTTATAAATGTTGTATGTATTTTCGGTAATAGCGTTGTATATTATGTATGTACACAAACAACAAGACGCACACAAATCCGTTAATTATTTTCAAACTTATGTGATGCACCAAATGACTCTCATGCCCCCTCATATTCAATCCGAGGATAACTAAAATCCGCGCACATTTTTTTTGTGAGTTTATGTCTGTGTCTGTGTACGTGTATGTCATCATATATCATTTGTCCTTCTCTAACTTAAGATGTCGCAATCTGTCATTTCTTCAATTGTGTTTACCGAAATTTAGTCTCTCAAATATTTACGTATGTAAGGCTAATTTTTTATTTTTAAATTATTGCTTTAATTTTTTATATTTATATTTTTACCTATGAATTTAGTAGTATTTATATTCAATTTCAGATGTTTTTTTTTTTCTGTTGTGTAAATGTTTATAAAAGCAGTGTAAAATTCTAATAACTAATTCAATAATTGCAATCATTTAATATCGTACTGAACACAACCATTTATACAACGGTCGGAAAAAGAAAAAAAAGTTAATAATAATTTTATTTTTTAATTATTAAATTATACAGGCAACAATAAGATTATTCGAATCAATAACATATTTTTATTGATAATTCCTACAAACTTAAACAAATATTAGATTTCAGTAATTTTAGTATAATATTAATTAGTATAATCTCCGTTCTCACACTTCTTATATCCCCTATTGAGTAAAATTGTAACTTTCAGGTATCATCGGTCTGATTCTCCAACTACAAGAAGTAAAATTTTCGGTTTATAAACATGAAGATACTTCTTTTACTACACGTAATTATTGTCAATACATATTTATACATACCTATTGGACGATACTATAGGTATACATACTAAATATTTAGTTCATAAATAAAGATTTATTCAGAAAAATTAAAATGGCGCCGATTGTTCATAAATTTTCATCCGATGAGTGAATCTAGAATTAAAATCTTTTTTTTTTCTAATAAAAAACTTTGAGTTAATTATGAAAAGTCGATTCAAATAATGTTAAAGTTTTTTAGGACGCGTATGTCATGTTGAAATACTGAAATAAATTTAATATTTACTAAAAGAAAATTATTCAATAAATTGAATCTCTCATATGAAATTTATTGTTAGCTCTAGTGGATCTGGATTTTTGCATTAATTATATTATTCAAACAATTATTTAATCAAGTGAAAAAAGTAATTAAATTAATAAGATAATTTCAAAAAAAAAAAAATTAAAAATGGATCACGAACGAGGACAAAATGAACAAATTATTGCTGGTATAGAGAAAATAGAAACAATGTCAGATAATTCACTGCCTGATATTGCAAATATGAATATAAAATCGCGTATCAATAAAAAAACTCAAGATTTTAGTGAAGAACCTCTCACCAATGGATTACACAATGGAATTTGTAATTCGCAAAAAAATATTTCTGTAGACCATAATCTATTACCTGGAACACAATCTATGGAAACTAGTCATTTAAATAAATTAGGTAAATTGCATTATTTTTAATTATTCCTAATTCAATTTTTTTTTTTTTTTAAATATTCACATTAAATTTTTACATTTTCAGATAAAGAAGAAGTAGCGTGTGTAGATAGTAAAGACAATGACATAGAGTACGTTAGTTATACAAATGAACTTCAAATGCCCGATATTATGAAGTTAATTCAAAAAGACCTAAGTGAGCCATACTCCATTTATACCTATAGATATTTTATTCATAATTGGCCCAAACTTTGCTTTTTGGTAAGACATTTATGATATTATATAAATTCATAGATCAAAAAAATTCACTGACCATGTCATGTGCTTGAAATTTCAATTACAATGTCTGTTAAGCCTATCGAAATACAAGAAAATGTTTAATCAATATCTTTTGTTTCTGTGATTCACATTTTTTTATATTTTTATTAATTCTTTAACACCCAATTAAATTGGATATTAAATTCAAATATGCACTATCGACCAGTTTCGACAAGCTACAGACATTGAAGCTTGAAATTTAAATGCGATTGGTAAAAATTATAATGTGTGACACAGAATACAACACAATATTGGACTTAAAGAAATGACAGCTCATGTTATCATGTCGATAATCAACTAGACTTTGTTATAAATTGTTTTGTGTCATTGCAAGTTATATCATAAACTATTTTGTTGTTTTTCAATAGTAATGAATATCTATAGATCATTTTTAAAAACAATATTTTCTAAATTATTAGAAAATTTTTCAGTGCTATTAATTTATACTCTTTTTGATATTAAATTATGTTTAGGTTTCATGAATCACTTGTCTTCGTAGTCCATCTTATGAAAAATATTATTATCCGATGATAAATCTTTAATATAAGAGCTAATATTTTTTGAAAAATTTTTCAGAAATAATTTTAAATTTATCAATTGAATTGAAATTTTAATTTTCATCTTACATCACATATACTTGTATATTATTATTTTTCTTTTTAGGCAATGCATGGCAAAGAATGTGTAGGCGCAATTGTCTGTAAACTTGATATTCATCGAAAAGTTATAAAACGTGGTTACATCGCAATGTTAGCTGTAGATATAAAATATAGAAAACGTAAGATAGGCTCAAACCTAGTAAGGAAAGCTATTCGGGCGATGGTCGAAGATGATGCTGATGAAGTCGTTCTGGAAACCGAAATAACAAATCGATCAGCTTTACGACTCTATGAAAATCTTGGTTTTGTCAGAGATAAAAGACTATTTCGGTATTATCTAAATGGTGTAGATGCATTAAGACTTAAACTTTGGCTAAGATGAAAGTTATTCGAGTATTCGTGTCAATAAGATGTTAATGCGAATATTAAAGGGATTAGTTTATAATAATAATTATTATTGTTACTCTTACATTATATCAAAATTTAATTCATGAATACAATGTTAACATAAACATTTAGTTATTTTCATAAATTTTAATATAAACTTTATTTAACTTCAAATATATTTTTACTAGCTTTTCCGAATGCTTCCAAATCCCGTCCGCTTGACAAAAAATTATATTTTTCTTAATTTAAATTTAGAACTAATCATTTTAATAACAAAAAATTATACTGGTGTTTACATTGTATTAAATGTACATCTGAAAAATAATTCATTGCAGCTTAAAAACAAATAAAAATGGAAATCTTAGAAATATAAATAAATGTTTACAGAAATGGTCATAACAGTAAAATAAATTTTTAAAAGTCATATTAAAAATACTGACACGCGTTTTTCTGTATTGAAGCTATGTTTAATTATAACATTGTACAATATTATTTATTAAATTACAAAGTTGTAAAAATTGCAAAAGTTTATTACAAAAAAAAAAAACAATTTTTGCTTGTATAATTTTTACAATGTTTTAATCAATTTTTCTTGTATTTGATGATTTGAAACGTTTGAGAAAAGTGGTAGAAAGTGGAGAATTTCGGTTTAGCCAACTTTTAAAATTATTCATGATATCTCATAATACTTATGTAAAAAATTTACTGAGCTCAAAATTTTATGCAAAAAGTTATCTTAAATCAATTTTTAAAGTTGAGACTTGATCATTGTAAAAATTGAAATAATTTTAATGGTTGTATAAATATTTTTCGATATTTTGACAGTTCGGGGTTGTTATAATACCGAATTCTTAAAGTTTGAAAATTACTTATATTAGTATTATCTTATAACATCAAGCTCACTCAGCTTTATCTGCATGTGAAAACATTTTTCATATGTCTTTATTCTTAACAAATCTATTGATTTTAAAATTTTAATTAACTAAGATTTTCCCCCTTTCTACCACTCAACAACATATGTTGAGGAGAAATCAGATGAAATTAATGAATTGTTTAAAGTTTAAAATTTTGTTAAATAATCATTTAAATTAATTTTTGTCAATTCATTTTTTTGATGCGAAGTAACAGACATGAATTACGCATTCTCAAAGAATTATAATTTAATGTATTAAGTTTTTTTACTCTACGTATTGTATTAATAAATAATTCGATAAAGTTGAACATAACATTGGAAGTAAAATTATCTTATCGTCATTATCATTATTGAAAATTGTAGTAAGCAAAATAAATACAACAAAGAATATGAGTGTAATGTATAAATTATATTAAAAATAAAAATACATAACTGTTTTAACATGTTGATCATTTTAAAAATTATTGGTAAAAAATTAGTTTACTTGCTTGATACGTATGTAAAAATTCAGGATATACTACTCTCGAAATAAAACTTGTAATTATATAGCATTTGAACAAAAATAAATAATTGTATTTTTGTTTAAATATATTTTTATGCGGAAAAAATTAGTAGAAAATATCAATATAGTAATTATTGTCTCAATAAAATATCAAACCATATAAAAAATAATTTTTATTTTATTTAAAAATGTAAAAACTTACGTCGATACGGAATAAAATCATTGATTAAACGATTAATTTGTAAAGAAAAATATTCAGTTTTAATCTTTTGTCTAAAATTTTAATATTCATAATTTTTATTAACTTATCAATCATAAAAAAAAATAGAACAAGCGACGTTTGATTCGCTTTTTTTTTTCCTTTGACTAGCTAATAAATTAATAAAAAAATATTCATTATTATAAATTAAATTAATCTCATTGTACTTTAAAATTGAATGTAAAGTTAATACAATTATTTAATAGATTGTTTCTTTTTATCATCACTTTCAAAACCTGAATCTAACTCTTCGTTACATTTTTTTAATATCGAACAGTCTAAATTATGATTCACTCGCCGTTCGGTAATAAAATTTGTAATTGTATCAATTAAATGTGTAAAAAAATGTGGATAACCATCGTATCCTGGAAAAACATTAACATCTATAATAGCATATTTTCCAGTATGATTTTCAATGACTACGTCAACACCCAAAAGTGTTAGTCCAAAAATTTTCGTCATTTTTGCAACAATATACTGAATAATTTCATGGTTCGGTTCAATTCTCAAAGCTTTATCTTCTTTTGATATCACTGACCATTGTGAGTTTGATCCACTCTTTGAAATATCATGTGAACTAAAAAATAATGTGCTCAATTGCTCGCAATCGATTGGATAAAAATTTCTCAAACTTGGTCTTTCAACAACATGGAAATATTTCCCAACAATAAAAACTTTGTGCAAAACTGCATTATGATTAATAAAATCTTGTGCCACGCAAGGTAATTGACAGTCCATGAGATCTTTTTCGTTGAATATTATCATCATCTATAAATTTAAATTAATATTAACGAACAATTTTTTTTTCTTTGATTTTATCCTATTTATTCATAAGTATAATTTTTTAATTGTTCAACTACCTTATGAGCATCACTGGAGCCATGAGCAAATAGAGGTTTACTTATAAATGGGAATCTAATACCCGCTGATCTCAAGTACTTTAAATTTTCATCCGCATTCTTGGATTTTAATTGGATTGTATTTGGAGCAAATATATCTGAAATGGATATCATTAAATTTTTTAATATTTTATATTCAAGCAATAAAATTATCTTTCTTTTGCATTCTATACGAACCACTCGATTTGATTTCTTTTTGTAACATTAAATAAGATTGTTGACGATTATTTAGATTTTTAACATTTTCAAAAGGATCTATCGGTATCATTTCTGGATGTTGATACAAATATTCTTGAGCTTTAATCACAATTCTCTTGGCCTGCAATCAATGTCAAATAAATAAATAAATATTAATAAAATTTATTTTTTTCTTGTATGATGTAAAAATCGTTTACTACATTTTGATCACCACTTTCTGCTAATGCCAACGTATCGGTTAATTTATGAAGGAAGACGTGGAATGGTCCTTGAGACTCAAGATTACTATCAAGATTAATCTAAAAATTATAAAAAAAACACAGTTTAACCTCTAATGAGATTTTGTTGATAAAAATTTACAGAATAATTATTAATAAATTAAAAAAAAAAAACCCACATTACCTCTTTTAATACAAAACCTTTCTGCTCACAAATATTTTTAAATTCTTTCCAATTCAATTTCTGCTGTTTCTTTTCCGATATCCAATATCCAATTATACTTTTTTCTTTATCCATTTTTTTATGTTTCAGAATCACATGTTTTCTTTTAAATTTAAATCTTTTTCTTAAATAACTACTTATGTTTATACATGATATTTATGGAAAAAAAGGATTATTATACACTACTGTGAAAAAAAAGTTTATAAAAATCATATAGCAAAATATATTCAAAATATAAATAGCACATATAATATATTTACAGATGTATAGTGTTATATAGATATAGTGGTATAGCTATAACTTTCAACAAAAACATTTTGAGAGGTTATGGTCTACGTCGTAGTAGACTCTACGAATATCACAACTTAAATATTTCCTTATTTAATGTTTCAAGGTTACTTATTAGTTTTCCACAAGATTACACAATAAAATAATTAGCAATAATACATAGTCATTGCGAGTATAAATTTAAATACAACAATAACATTCAAGAAAAAATTTATCTTACAGAATTATTATTATTATTTTATTTAATCTGATCATAAGTCATCAGTGATGTCACATCTGGAAAATGCAAAGTTAAATTTGTTATTTATATTTTAGCTATCAAATGTTCAAGTAATATGAATTTTTTTTCCTTACTGGATGTTGAGTCCCCATTGGAGTTTAATATTTCACCAAGACTTTTGAGTGATGACTGCAACATGATAATAAAAAAATATTTATTTTCATCTTTACGTAATTTTTATGTAAGAATAACACACTTACATTCAAAATATTATGTATTTGATCAGTTAAGTTCTGATAATAATTTGAATTTTCATTTTCTTGTGAATCAGGAGTACCATTTACTCTTACTTCACCCAACGAAAACGGCAGAGGTAATTCACCTTCTGAATATTCACCTGAACTATTTTTTTCCTAAGCAATGAACAAATTTATTATTTATTTATTTGTTGTTATTATTATTATTATAAAAATATAAAAGAAATGATGTATCAATTAACTCTACATACCTTTTTTTCTTGTAATATTTCAACCGATGGGATCTTTTCTAGTAATTGAAATGATTTTAAAGATAATGATGATGTTTGTTTTTTATCTTCACTTTGTTTAGTCGATGATTGAATGCTTAAATTTAAGCTATTTGCTATATCTATTGAATTTTTTTTATTATCAGAAATAGGTATTATTTTTTCACCAGTTTGTGATTTATCTTTTAATTCTTCAATTACATTATAGAGATTTGTATTATTTTTTTCACAATCAATCGATAAACAAGGTTCAAATTCTCCATGGTTTTCTTTATTCAATTCGAAATTTTCAATTTTATCATCATTTGAATTTTTAAGTTCATCTAATGTATTTTCATTTTCAGAAAAAGAAGCTGTTTCAAAACTTTCAGAGTAAATTCCTGAAACATCAAAAGAAGTACGATCTCGAAGATCGTCTTTAGATGAATCAACAACTAAATTCACTTCCACATAATCAGGTTCTACATTTTGATTTATTTCTAATGGAGTATTTTTAGAACTTTGTCGTAACTTAACACTTTTAGATAGTGTTTTTTCATTTGAAAAGGAAGATTTTGTAGTTTCAAATTGTTTTTTCTTGTTGCCACATATTTTTTGATTAGTTATATTAAAACTATTTTCAAGAACTTTATAATTTACTTCAGTCTCTTGTTGACAGTCAAATTTTTTAACATTATCGTTATAAGAGAAATCATGACATTCATCTGAATGTCTTTTTTCGTTAATTTGTTTTTGTATCTTTTGAAGAGTTTCTGATAAATGAAGTTCAATTTCGGATTTATCATGAGCAGTAACTTTATCACAATTTTCTATAGTACTTGCTGATAGAGAAAGCTTATTCCTTGTTATAAAAACTTTTGAATCATTATTGATATCAGGTTTGATAATAGGCGTTGGAAGTTCTTCAATGTCATTAGAAATATTTTTTGCATCAATATTAACAGAATAATTATTCAATGGAGTTGAAAATCTTTCAGCTGGCTTAAGCGATTCACTAGTAATAGTTGTTTCTGGACTTAAATTTCTTGTTTGCGCTTTAAATGATAACTCCACTCCATCAAAATTTTTTTCTCTAGTATCACTTTTAGTTATTTTTAAATTAATATTGCTATTATTATTACAGACTACAATTTGAGAAAATATATTAACCAATTTATTCGCATTCTCTGAAAAAGTTTTCATCTTTTCATCGAATTTATTCAATATTTTATCAACGTGTTCAAATTTCGGTGAATAGAGATTAATTTTGTTGAAATCAAAATCATCATTAATTATTTCATCTTCAGTAGTTTTATTATAACTTAATTGATGTCGATTTTCTTCTATCAAGTCATCAGTATTCATTTCATTAACATTATTAGTTTCTAACTCAACAATTCGGCACATAAATTCAATAAAGGATCCATTTGATTTTTTAGTATTTTCATTTATATGTCGTTGTTGGAAATTAGTTTTACACAAATGTTGTCGTTTATCATCATCTGGATTTATTGTTTCTGGTTTTATTTTATCATTACTTATTGAATCACTAGAAATATTTTTTTCAGTCAGCAAGTCTTGAGATTTATCTAATGAAGCAGGTTTTTTATGCGGGGTTTCTTGAATACTTGTTTGTACTGCAATATCAACAGAACTTTCTTTTTTTTGTTTTTGTTCGCACGAGTCATTTTTCAATTCAGATATGTTAGAATTATTTCTCTTAATGATATTATTATCATTTGATAATAAATCAAGTTTTAGTGAGCTAATTACTGATAATTGACTAGATTGACTTTTAATAGAATCAGTTTTATTCAAAATACCTTTTTTTATTTTAACTTTCAATTGGGGTTTACTTTCCGAACCACTTTTTTGTTCTTCATTAGTAATTATTTGTTTATTGTTATTATTATTTAATGTAAAAACTCTAGGCATCTCCATCGTATTATTGTTTCGTTGTTCGCAATGACAATGTTGATATTCAATTTCGTTTCCATCAGAACAATAATTATCATCAAGTGACAATATGTCACGATTTAATTCCTTGAATTTAGCATTAACAACTTCTCGTATATATAACACACTTTCATCAGCGTAGCTATAACAAAGACAAAAGAATTAAGTACAATGAAATTAAAGTTAGCAGTCGTTTGACAATTTTTTAATTTTTTTTAATAAATAAATTATGACAAAAAAAAAAAAAAATTATTTAAAAAATGGACTTGTAGAAATTTTAATAAATTAAAAATGCAATTTTTTAAAAATAATTTTTTAGAACAAATTTTTTTGTTAAAAAAAAATCAAAAAATTATCAAGTGACAGCTAAATTAAATGTCATAGAATTACAAAAGAAAAATTTGTTTAAATTAAAATTAAAATATTAAAACATACCTGCTGTCATCAAGACGAAAATTCTTTATACCATAATTAACTTGAGCAATTTTTTTTTCAACATCATCAATAAGTTTTTCAGCAATGTCTAATATCTCTGAAGTATCGATACTAATATCAAGACTTGAAGACATTTTTTATACCGAATATAGTTTACAAAATTTTGTTTTAAACTACTCTTTGTCTTCTATATTTTCAATGTCGTGTGAAGTTATTCAAGTTTTGTAGAAGCTATCAAAATTGATCTAATTCTGTTTTATATATTTGACAAACAAAAGAGAGTCAATGTCGACAACTTGCACCTTACTACTGTTGTATATATGAACATTTTTTTTGTTTTACAATCCATACCAGATGTTTGACCCATGAAAAAGTTAGCCAACCATGTGAAACCCATGCATACACTCGTATATATCGATTTTTAAAGGCTAAATAAGTTACTTCCTGTAACAAAACTGTATTTTTTATAATTTAAAATTTATTTCAGATGTAGAAATTATAATATTAATTGCCTTTACGTTTAGTATTTTTTGTTTCAAAAATAAAAAATTGGAGTTATAATTTAAAAAGCTACCTCACTATCACAGATTAATTTATACGGGATTATTTTTCTGAGAATTAAGTATCGAATAAAACTTTTCATATTACGAAAAGTTAATGCATTATAGCTCTAAATCCAGTCATTTATAAAATAACGTCGAAAAATAAAAAAAAAAAAAAAAAAACAAGTATTTTACATGAAAGTCAGGATTAGAGACTCGTACAAACGTACAGATGCAGATTATAGCTACATCGTAATGGGTACTTTTGTACTTAAAGCATTTAATCTTGAGTAAATCGCGTTTTTGTACAATACGAAAGAATAAAATGCCGCTGAGTTATAGATATTGGATGGAAATAAAAAAAAAATGAAAAATAAAGTTTACAAGTATTTTAAATGAAAAATTTTTCTACGTTCTGGAAGAGTACTGAATGCAAATATTAAACGCTTATACTTTCAGAAAATTTTTTTTAACATTTTTAACAAAATTTTGAGTTGGGAACGAGAAAAAATAGTCTTAAAAAAAACATTCTACTATATATCTACATGTAGATAAAAATAGTTTACAGTTTTAAGATACATGAGAGATTTGGAGAACAAATTCTGCAGATAATCGTAAAAATAAAAAAAAAATTATACGGTAGTATAATATTATAAGCGTAAGGTTTTTATCCCGATTGAATTTGTACATGGGATATTAAATAGTACTTAACAAAAAATTTTATACAGTAAAACCTGTGTACATTGACCAGACAGTTCTTAAAAATAATGGTCATTGTATAAAGAATGAAATTATATGATAACCAATTGTTAAAGCTCAAATGTTCTAAAAATAGATGTCACATTAGCCAGGTGGTCATATTAGATAGGTATATTGATATATTAAATTATTATTTATTTTTGAAGTAAGAAAGAGGGTTTATGTAAAAGTAAAGAGACATCAGACAATTATAATTCGTAATTGATTTATATAAAATCAATCAAAATTTTCAGGTATTTATTATTTTAAATATCATGAAACTTTGAGAATTTTTTAAATAATTTTGATTTAAAAAATAATTATGAAAAGAAAATCATAATAGGAAAAATATTATTTTTAATTATGCTAGTCATTTAGGCATAAAAAAAAATTTTAATGGAAGTTAATATTTAATATTACTATTTATAATCCCTTATACTATCATTTTGATCTAAAATCTTACATAGGGATAAGAAATTAACTTTATTTAATATTAAATGTTCATTTTAATAAAACATTGTTCTTTTATCATTAAAGTTGCTATAAATTATCTCGTATACTAGAAGAAATCAAGCCATTGAGAATTTTAAGTATATTTATTATCGTATCTATATTATTGATATTCAATCAGTTGCCTCTATACAAATCTAAATTTAATCTCAATGGGTGCTTTCAAATTTGTACATCAATTTGAAGTATGAAGAAACTAAACATTTTAAACAAAATTACGAGATTGTCTGGACCGCAACGGATCAATATAGTGCCTACCTTTCCCCACTCCGATTCTTTTTTTTTATCATCTCAGATATAAAATAGATTGAGTTGACATTGATTTTTTTTGTTAGACGTCATATGAAAGCTCAATTTTATTGAAGATATTGATATAATGAAATGAAAGCTGCACACTAATTTTATAAATACAGTATGGATTATTAAATAAGTAATTAAATGAGAACAAAATAATTATTACACATCAACATATATATTTTCTGATTTTTTTTTACCTTGATTGCATACATGCGATAAACAGTACAATTGTTACACTTTCCAAGTTGTTTTAATCTAAAAAATCAAAAACAAAAAAAGTTTTTTTTTTCGTTTTTTCACTACTATAATTATCATTCAATGTTAATTTCATTTTTTTTTTATTTATTCAAAAAATTTACTTTGTTTTCATTACTTTTTTATTTTAATAATTATATTTTTTCGTAATAGAAAAAGAGTCACGTTTCTACATGACCCATAAATATTTATTTAAATTTCTGTCAAATGACTTTTCAAAGTACAGACTATGTAGTCTGATAAAATGTTATTTTACTATCTTAAACAGAAAAGAATTAAAAAAATAACAATATCGCTGGGAATTGCATTTTTTTGCATTTGTTCACATTAACATAAAAAGATACTGAAGAATATTTTATATTAATTAATGCCATTTTTAAAAATACATTATAAACAATTTAAAGCCATTAAAAAAATAAAAAAAAAAAAAAAAAAAAAAACGTTACAATAGATACATTATTTCGTTTTCATAAAAATTTAATTGAGAAGACTTTTGTTACAATGATTAAACATTTATGATGATTCAAACGTTTTGTTTTCGTTTTTTTATCAAAGTCATGCTTATGCAATTTGTACCATCTTTTAAAAATACAGTCGGACCTTATTATAAAATTTTGTACTTGGCTATCACCAAATATTTTTTTTAAAAGGCCCAACTAGTCACGGAGTTATATACGTTGATTAAAAATTTGCATTTAGAAAGGTTAAAAAAAATTACAATAGACGGGCGGAGTGAAAAATAAAAACTTTTTCATCTTTTTTAATGAAAATTATTCAAGATATTTTTTTTTTTTACTTTGATATCACTTATATTAATCGATGCATGCTTTAACATTATTTCGATTAATTTTTTTTTTGTACAAATATATACAAATTAAAAGAAAAAAATGTAATCAGTAAAAGGGAGTCCCACATCAATTGTCTAATATTGAATATCATTCGTTAAATCTTTTAAAATCATTCACTCTTTTTGATATCATATTTTTATTACTACATTTTCATACTTGCAGTCAGAAAAACATTAGTTTACCATTTAGAAAGAATAAACTGATCTTGGGCGGCCTCGAAATCATTAAGTAAACTAACAATAATTAAAAACTTTCCATACTATAAAGTTGACTTAATCGATCAACTGTTGATTTAAAAATGTTTGATAAATTAATTAAAAATGTTTTGTACACTAAATATTATCTTAATAAACTTTTTAAATAGCGAGTGTTTAGTTCCTGTTGATTTTTTATTTTCTTAAATATACCTTATTTTATATTTAATACAAGCCAAAGACTCAAAGTCTTCAAACTTAATAACTAGAGCTAATAAAAATAAAAACCATTAAATTATTTATCATTAAACAAATTATCAAATTTAATGTGTTTTTAGTTTCACGTACATTAAGTAAATGATAATGAATTTTATTTATTTTATTGTTATTTTTCATCACATAAAAATTTTTATCATTAGTAAAACAAAAATCGTTAAGAGATAACGACTTGGATGGCATTTGTGTGAAAATATAAAAGCATTTGTGAATGTAAATAAATGTATTCTATGTGCAAAGGAATCACACACAAATGAAATATTAACGCACAATTCTAGATCATTTAGTATTTTTGTACATTGATAACTTGGTTACTTTACTAATAATAATTAATTTCAAATTTATATACACATATACACAATGTACAGAAAGATAGTTTGAACCTTAAAGGTACAAACCAAAATTAACTTACTCGCTTTGAGCGGTACTATTCAAAATAATTAATGATGTAAAATTTCGAACATCATAAACTTGTTACTAGAATGTTAATGAGTCATTGCAATACATAAATTTATTATTCAAGGAGACGTTCAAATGTAACAGCATTCAAAACTAAGTACGAATCCTTCTATGATTTTTCTGAAGAATTTAAAAATTCATTGCAACTGTACATGGTCACATAATTAATAAAGAAAAAAACTAGACAAAAAAAAAAAAAAAAATTGAGAAATAAACTAGATAAAATAAAAAAATATTTTCAAAGCTTTATTTTTTTTGCACATATATAACGCACCAAAAACAATTCACCAGCTTGTCAAAATGCCGAAGACTGCTGCTCAAAACCGACTGTAATCATTTGTGCTCTTTATAATAAATCATTTATTATTATTCAATCAACTTTATCAAAAATGCTGTTTATATAGAGTGGAAACGATCGGTATTCACATTAAATTTGTTAATAATGGTATTTATACCAATAAATTGTTAACTGCTAGCAAAAAAATTCCGACACATTTCAAAGTCTTCGGCTCTAACCTAGTTGACTCGATTAGTGAGCAACATTAATACATGTGAATTTTATTTAATTTTTTTTTTTTTTTTTTTTTTTTCAATCAAAAACAATTTTTATGATGGAACCTTCACGGTTTTCCATCAAAGTATGTCTGCTTATCTCTTTAACGTTGAGATATCGAGCAGTTTACAAATTTGAGCCTCAATCATATCAAAAAACTCTATTTCTTTAAGTTTCACGTTCTTTTTTCACTTTCAACCCAGTGCTTGCAGTATCTTCAGCGAGAATAGTTGCAATTTCACCTTGCATGAATGCCCAAGGCACCTGACTATCAGCCAAAGGACATTTTTCTCCACTTGGACAGTAAACCTGTAATAATAATAACATATGTAAGTTTTTATTTCTATAACTAAGTTGAATAACAAAAAAAGATTTTTTTTATTTATTCAATAAATGATACTGACCTCTGATCCAGCACCCTGTCTTTTGATGCTGTCTCGACTACATGGGAAACAGAACTTGTGATGAGGAACACTAGGGCATTGAACAAAATGAGTGTCCTCAAGACGACCTTGACAAAGTGTACACTTGAGTGCAGGCGCTGTCACTGGTTCAGATCCAGTAGATTGGGCGGTTACACCTTCTGATGATGTCATCACAGTTGTAGATGACACATGTCTAGATCCATTTTGTCTTCTTGCTGAAGATCCTACAAAGAAAAATAATAATTAATATATTAATAATGTTGCTTTTCAGTTAATTACTTATTGATATTATTAGTAACATAATACCAATTAATACCTGAACTGTTAGGACTATGTTGAGAGCCCCTGGAAACACTACGTTGTTGAACATTGGATGCAGTTGTTGGAGGACTTCTACTAGTTGGGCTGGGATTATTGGGAGGCTGTGATACAGGTTCAGGTGATGTTAAAGTGTCAGCAACAGACATTAAAGCAGCCATTGGCGATGGACCTCCAGCTGTTCCCTACAAAAAAAATTAATCCCTAAATTTAGATAGTGCTCGTTTATAAATAAATAAGAATCATTGAATAAGAAAAAGATTTACTTGATGATGATTTCCTTGCTGATTCCCACCTCCTGTTTCTTGAGGAGGAGGAGGTGGAGGTGGTGGACTGGTCCTGGGACGAAGAGGCGATCCACCGCCACCATTGGTAGCAACGCTTGCTGGCGCCAGTGGAATTGACGGACCGACATAACCACCTGTAAATAAGAAAAATAAATTCATTAAATATTCATTAGTTGAATCTCTAAGTAAAATTAAATATTATAGAATTAATAGAAATAGGATTTTCTTTACTTCCAATAGAAAGTTTATGACGACACTAAAACTGAATCATCAAGACTTAAAATTACGTTCAAAGTCCTGTTGTATCTATTATACATTCAATTCACGGAATTTACTCGGGACATGATGGAATGTTAAATATTCAATTTACAAATGTCTGATAGGTACTACGTAGAATAACTAAAATTAGTATTGACAATATTTACAATACAGCAGCTAAGTAAATTACTCATGTACACTTGATTTTATTATCTACAATTTATAATTTTTAGCATACGTGATAATAATTGTTTTTTTTTTTTTATTATTTTCCAATGCTGAAGAAACATATGATGTGTCATTTTCTTACAGAGAGAATCATAATAATATATATAGGGTAAAAAAAAAAAGTATATAAAATATTATGACAAAGTAAAACCGGTTCAAGAGTGGATCCAGCATGGAATCGGAGCGTTGAGTCAGTCAGTCAGTGAGACAACATGAAGCACGCAATCGCCAGTCGACGGGACATGTGACCGGTACTTTTCCGTGACCACAAGAACCATCAATACATGCTATAATACAGCACAACAAGGAAAGAGAGATACCATTCGAGCATTTTTCCCCCCGTACACGCAAACTCGATATCGTGAAACAAGACAAGACATACGAAGACAAGGAGCGCAAGAAAAGATAGTAAGGGGTAATGGCTTAGTCACCGGTCGTTGCGTTGCAGTTGCGGCCTTGTTTCAGAATCGCTATCGCTACTAGCATTATATACATATAATACATTCACTAACATCACATACACACACACACACGCATTCATGCCTACATGCAATTATATATATATATATATATATATATATATATATATATATATATATATATATATAT